AGAAAATATATAAAATAAATGTTCTTTTACTTTATTATATTATTCAACATTTTCAGCCTTGAAAAGAACTCTTTAACAGTCAACGGTAGTGAATTTGAGTTATCGCTCCTTTACTCGATTCCAAAACTTCATAAAAATCCATGCAAACAAAGATCTAGCAAATGATCTACTAGACTCTCTTTAGGTCACCTGAGTCAATCAGGTGACTTTTCGTCCGTCGTCGTGCGATAACATTTGAACATTTTCAGCTTCTTGTTTGAAACTGCTCAACCAATTTCAATCAATTTTGGCATACTATGGTATGAAGGGAAACAAAAATTGTGAATTTCATAGTTTCTGCCCCCTGGAGCCTGAGGGGTGGGACTAAAACCACCAAAATTAATACAATCTTAAAAAAATCTTCTTCTTTACTCCTGGACATCAAGCAGTCAAACTGTTGGCATGAGTCCTCTACCAGAATTGTGAAATTCATGACCCCAGGGTCTGGCGTTCTGGTGCTAGGGCGGGACTTTGTTGAATATATAGTTAAAATGCATTATTTCTTAAAAAATCTTCCCCTCTGCTCCTGGGTACATAATTATGATGAAGAAGGGTGTCTCTTCCTAAATTGTGAATTTCATGCCCCCCTTGGTCAGGGGTTCTGGTGTTAGGGCGGGGCTCTAATGATTATATAGTGAAAATGCAATTATTCCTTGAAAATCCCCTCCTCTGCTCCTGGCTATTAAGCCGATAAACTAAGTACACAGTTATGATGAGGAGGTGTGTCTCTTCCAAAATTGTGATTTCTTGGCTCCTGGGTCAGGGGTTTGGTGTTAGGGTGGGGTTGTAATGATTATATAGTTAAAATGCAAAAATTCTTTGAAATTTTCTCCTCTGCTCCTAGATTTTAATTCCAAAATTGTCAAAGATGTGGCTCAAGGTTCAGGGGTCTGGTTTAGTTATTAAATAGTGAAAATGCGACAATTCTTTGAAAATCTTTTCCTCTGTTCCTGAGTATTAAGCCGATGAAATAAGTACATAATTAGGATGAAGAAGGGTGCCTCTTCCAAAATTGTGAAAGATATGGCCCCTGGGTCAGGGGTCCGGGGGGGGGGGTATTTATTATATACTGAAAATGAATTAATGCTTTGTAAATCTTCTCCTCCGCCCCTTGGTATTAAGCAAACAAACTAAATGCATAGTTATGAAGAACAAGGGTGCCTCTTCCAAAATTGTGAATTTCATGACCCTTAGGTCATCAAGTCGAGTAAATATACAGGCATTAGAGATTTCTCTTTGTGTTCTTAACTGTAGCACTAGGCAAGTGACAAAAACATATCTGTATATATTGAATACCTTACACACTAAGCAAGTGTTCATTGTACATGTATATTTTGCACTCATTATAATCACAGGCACTTGGGGTATGGATCCCTCCCTTTCCATTTTTTTCTTTTTAAATCTGGGATCAAGTCACCTTTTTCCTGTTTTTGTATTCTAATAAGCACTATATGCTATATCGGTAATTTAACCCCTTTATCTCTATTGGCTGTTTTTAAATATATCGTTTTCGACTGACACTCTCATTTTATGTGTCAGTCGAAAACGATATATTTGAAAACAGCTTATAGAGACAAAAGGGTCACATTACTGATGACATATAGTGCATATTAGAATACAAAAATAGGAAAAAAGTGACTTGATCTCAGATTTAAAATGAAAAAAAAAATGGAAAGGGGGGTCCTTACCCCAAGTGCCTGTGATTATCATCCCTGTAAGACTTAAGAAAACCAAGTGCGATCCCAAGGAGATCACTCGCGTCTCGCATGTTACAATTAGCAAGGGTATTTTTTACCAGATTTTTGAAATTCATGGGCAACATAGCTTCGTCTATCAGTTAATTTTGGTTTATACTTCTATGGATCCTTTACAGTGTTGTATAATACTTAGGTGACCGTTAAGGCCCTTGAGCCTCTTGTTTTACTCCTCACAAAACTATTAAATGCTTTGAGGTAGTTCTTGAGATGTACTGACTACTGCAACATATTCATCAATATGGGTTCTCAAAACCATTAAAGAACTAAAACAATTTTTTTCCAAATTCAACAAAATCAAAATATATGGCTTTTAATCACTTCAAAGAATCATATCTCACGATATATTTTAAAGACCAGCAGGCTTGTTGATATCAATTCCATTTACAACAAGAACGGAACTGTTACTTTTCAGATACCTGTATATTGTGATTGGTCATCTATAGAACTACTGTGATAAAAGGATTCTGATTTTACACACAAGTACTCTGAAGATGACATTAAAAGATGTTGGAGTTCCTCATTTACAATTAATATGTATGTAGTCTTTGGAGACCAGGTCTTCCAACCGTTGAAATTCCCCGGCATTGGTACAAATTGTGCTCCTTTATCAGCCTACCTTTTTTGTATTTTTATAAAACAGATTTTATTCAGAAACTTCTACAAAAGAAAAAGAAAATTTTGCAATAGCCTCCAATTCGACATAAAGATGTATTTTATGCTAGTATTTATTTTCATTCCAATGCAGATAATTATCGATAACGTGGCACCTTCAATAAGATACTTCGTAACCTTCACCCCCCCTTTTTTTTTCTTGTTTGATAACACAAGAACTAAAACATTCGCCGTTAAATAAATATATGTACAGGCTAGGACACTGTATTAGAAAAAATAGCATTTGATTTATGTGTAATTGAAAAATCCCACATTAACTAATTAGAGTAAATAAACCTAGCCTAAAGTAATACTTGGTTGCCTTCTCGTAATATCCCACCTTTCTTCCCTTTTATGAACAAGTGACTTACCAGAAAGTAAACAAGCACTTGAGGCGGGGGTCATCCAAGCACTAACAGCTTCCGTGGCTCCATTTCCTTTTGGACGCTTTAAGCTAATTAGCAAACAGTGCTTTGAAAAGCAATGGTAGCAATTTTATTACAAGTTTAAACTGAGTCGACATAATGAAGATGGAATGTAACATTTCGTACATCTTCAAATACCCACGGGTGATCTCATCTCATGGGTAAAAGACGAGATCACCCATGGGTATCCGACGATGCATTTCATAAAATCTTCAAAATTTTGATTAGGAAACAAAGGTTATTTCCTTGAATGCTTTTAGTACTATAGTCTCATGAGCGCTTCTACCTCATATTAGATGAATCACTTGTCTTCAGATATTATTAAACATTAAAGTTATATCATTTACAATCCTTTTTTAGTCCGGTTGTACAGATGCGACTTGAAAAAAAGAAACAATTCAAAAACAAAAATAAATTAATAAATAAAAACAAATCCATTCATCGAACCCAGTCCATAAATGTATAATGTTTATTTAAACTGTACATGTAGATCTATAACTACAAGCCCAAGAAATTATGCCATGGTTTTACAAATTATTATCCTCATTCACTCGTGATCGACTAAATAACCAGTTCATAATGATAAAAATATGATAATAATACATGTATATATAATGAGCTATCAAAGAAATCCCAACATATCCGAAATGCACTTTAAAATGCTTCTGGACATTGTGAACATTCAATCTATTTATTGTTTACAATAAACATCTACTAGTATGGTATACATGTACTAGTATTACAACTGGGCAAATATTTATATTTATAGGTAGGGACGAAGCAATCAGTGTTTTTCAAAGATGGTGGGAGGGGGATGGAGGGGAAATGGAGCAGCCAAACAATAACTGACAAAGATTAGAAATTAAGTCTTCTAAGATAGTTTAACTTCGTTGGCCTCACTGAAGACTAAGATATGTCGTAAATTCGTCCTACATGTAAGATAGCTTCATAAGCATACCTGCTGTTTATTAACATTTGCCTCAGATTACACAAATTTTATAGGTACATAATAAAGTATTTTTTTTACTGTACAAATTCGAGAATTTTGTTACATAGTCGAAGCAGAAGAGAACATACTAAGTTTATTTTGCACATACAGTAAAACTCCTTTAGTACGAACACGGATATAACGAATTAACGGATATGGCGAAGTTTCTTGCAATCCCCGGCGAAATTCTTAAAAATTCTCTGTAAAATTTTACGAATATAGCAAACTCGGGTATAGCGAATTAACTGTTATAGCGAACTGAGTTGTGTCCCCTGTAAGTAAAAAATAACGAAATTTACATCTTTTACAGCGAATTTTCAAAGATCTAATATATATATATATATATATATATATATATATATATATATATATATATATATATATATATATATATATATATATATATATATATATATATTAATATTGAACTGACATTAATTTTATATTTATATCTGAAACTTAATTCATTCGAAAAACTTTTGAAGTCCAAGGTAATTTTTGTATTTTATACTTCCTTGAATACTTTTGGTAGTCATACTCAAATGAATAAAAATTATATTGCGAATTCGCATTGTATGCTTTAAGGAATACGTTATACGGATATAACAAATTACGGATATAGCAAAGTAAATTTGCAGGTCCCCAGAACTTTGCTATAACCAAGTTTTACTGCAGTTTAGAAAGCGTACTTAACAATGGCTGAATGCAGTTCGTCACATTCTTTTTATGTCATAGTTGGAAAAATATTTTATATGAAATAGGATTTGAAATTAAGTCCTATTCATTTTTTGAGAAACCTGATAATTCTGTTCTATATATTAACTGACAAGATTTGTTATCACATAAAAAAAAATTAGTATTATTTTCAGATGATTACTGCAAACAATACATTGTATATTTAATTCTTTCTTCTACATATACTTATTTCTTCTTTGATGAATTTTGAAATTAGACAGTAATAATCATAAATATTTATAATTTTGTTTGAATAAACAAACTACCAGAGTTTGGGTCTTCCTCTTGCAAATCGCCGCGCTGATTTCAAGATGTCATGTGACCTCTTTACACCAACAGCTTTCATATGTGGCTGCAGTATTTGGTATTAGTCATTTAATAGTCGGACGTTCTAAAAGAAATATTAGTATGTGGGAGAAATTAACATTGGTTTGTGTAGTGTCAATACTGATCACAAACAATTTAGGTGAGTACCATTTATTTTACTGGTGTCGATTTTGGTGAAAATATGATTGATTATGTGCATTATGCATGTTGAAAGTAATTTATAACTTAAACATTTTCATTCTTAACTCTTACTAGATTTTTAAAAAGAATACTTATTACACTGTAATTTATGAAAATGGATAAACAAAATTAGAAAATTCAAGTTGAAGTCTTGTATAAAAATGAGAGATTTTCTTCAATCCCCACCTCCATTTGCGCTTTTATTACCAACATGACAGAATGTTTATAGAAGACAATTCATGCGTAATAATTTTGGGAATGCAAATCAGCAGTACAATTACGTACCTTTTATTAAATAGGTAAATCTAATTTGACAATGGTAAATAATCTACATATCATTAAAAGAAAGTACGGTAAATAACTTTAATCTGGGAACCAACATCATTAAAACTGTCCTAATTATCATCTGTCTTATTAATTCTGAAAAGGGGATAGGAAGCGACCGAGTGCGTTATGTGTTAGTACTCTAGGGACGGAAGTCACTATACAAATCAGATAATGATATAAAGCCAGCCTCAAGTAGCACAGTAAAGAAAAAGCGGGGGGAGGCTTAGTACCCCCGAAAAGATTTAGGTAAATTGTAAGAGAATCAGTCGTAAGAGGTCACGAATTCATGTGTCAGACAGTAATCTGAGTCAAATCTTCCTCAGTGTGTATATTTACATTTCTTTTTCCATTTAATGATGTATCACAAGTGTTTAATCTATTTATCCCTGTACTCCTCATGTAGACGCCCATTTCTTAAGAACATATAATTCCATGGTCATATATATAGCGTGGACAAAGGAAATGCAATTAAATATCTATTAGATAAAAAAAAGTGTTCTTTTCCCCCTTCATGATGCTCTTTGACAAATTTCACAATAAATGTCTTATACGAGGAGTTGGGTAAGACTGCCCTTAGACCAGATGTCCAGACTTTCTTCGTTAAGGATTGTTATAATATATTCTATCACAAAATATCATGTTGTATTAATATCATCATGTTTATAAAAATCCCTAAATATCTGAGACTTTCATTCCAACATTTATCCATTCAGTGTCGTGTACAATTTTAATATTTCTAAGAAAGACCTCACTTGTTTCCTGTTCCATAGATACTATTGTCTATATGACATTTTATTTTACAAATACGTGTATTCCAAAACCATTGATTTTGTACTACTTCTGGTCCTGTAATGTATTTATGTGTAAACCCAAAGTACACAAATGACAGTATCTGGACTGCATGTTCTATTACTGTTCTACGTGTTAATTTGAAATAAACAGCGTGCAGGTTAACAATAAATTCATTATAGACATTTTCTCTACAACATAATTTTTAAAAGGTTTATTTTTATTATACTTATTTTAACCTCCGAATAATGCCTTTTTTTTCTTGAACAATTTTTTTCTAACTATTTTAATGACCTTGTACATTTCTAGATTTCTAGTTAGATAACCGTTAATTATAATTTGGAAAACTTTTTTCACGTTTAGAGGTGTTTTCCTGTTATAAGTAGATCGCCTTTTTTAATTCAAACAAGTCAATTTGTTCGATACTTAAGGCAGTACTGATAAAAATGTAATTTCAGACATTCAGGCGTCTCAATGTCTCCACAATACTTAGACTTTGTAAACAGGGGATATGCCTCAATGCTCAAATGTTTTCTTTTCTTGTGTCCGAGTGTCTTTCTTTCCTTTTCTTTATAATGATACATGGCTTGTAAGATTTCCTACATCGCACACCATTTGATTGTCACTCAAATTAACAACTCTTTAAAATGGTAATAATTATATATATATATATATATATATATATATATATATATATATATATATATATATATATATATATATATATATATATATATATATCTCATGAAGTCATGTTTTAGAAGAACACAGTCTTTGACTAGATGATTTAAGAAATTATTGTTCCTCAAATTTGAATGCGGAGTAGTTGAACTCAGTTTACTAGGGCACACAGTCTGTAAAGTCTAAGAAAAACTTTTTTCTCACATCTGTATAGATTTTTCTTCTCACAAGAAATAAAGTTTGCACACACCACAACTTGACACGACGCTACTAAATCACAGAGATGAGAGAATTTAATACACAATGATTATTTTGTAATATGTATAAATATATCTTTTTAACACGTTAATTCAGTTAAAAGCACCTGCAAGGCCTGAACAGAATTCATTTGAACCACCCTTCGTAAAATATCTCGCTGTTTTATTGAACTTCTTTTTCAAACATAATTTTCTTTTGATGAATAGTTTTTATCTCAGTCCTTAATTATATGTTGTACAGTAAATCAGATAGTTATACCAGAGGAATATTAATAAAAAACAAGATGTGTTTGTGAAACACTGATGCCCCCGTATGGCAACCTATAGCAAAGGTTAAACTTTCTCAAATGCAAATAAAAGTTGCTACCCAAAGTAAGGCCTCGTCTCGAGAAATATACCTGTGAAATATGAAAGTCCTAGCAGCAACCATTGAATAGATATGGAATAGGTTAAAAGTTTCAAAAGTAAGTCAAACATCAAGGTCAAATGGTCAAACTTAATGGTGCCCAAGGAAAGGCCTTCTCACAAGAAATACACATGTGAAATATGAAAGCCATAGCACAAATCGTTCAAAAGTTATGGCCAAGGTTAAAGTTTTCCAAAATGGGTCAAATTCCAAGGTCAATGTCAATGGATTACAATTGTTGGTATCCAAAGGAAGGTTTTGTCACAAGGAATGGACATGTTAAATTTGAAAGCCCTAGCACCAACTGTGCAAAAGTTATGGCCAAGCTTACAGTTTTCCAAAAGTAGGACAAACTCTAAGGTCAAGGTCAAAGGGTCAAAGTTGTTGGTATCCAAATGAAAGTCTTATCACAAGGATTATATATATGAAGTATGAAAGCCGTAGCACCAACCGTTCAAAAGTTATGGCCAAGGTTAAAGTTCTCCAAAAGTAGGTCAAACTCCAAGGTCAAAGGGTCAAAGTTGTTGGTATCCAAAGGAAGGTCTTGTCACAAGGATAACATGTGTCAAGTATGAAAGCCCTAGCACCAACCATTCAAAAGTTATGGCCGACGTTAAGGTTTTCCAAAAGTAGGTCAAACTCCAAGGTCAAAGTCAATGATAAAAGTTGTTGGTATCCAAAGGAAGGTCGTGTCACAAGAATTAAATGAGTAAAATATGAAAGCCCTAGCACCAACCGTTCAAAAATTATGGCCAATGTTAAAGTTTTTGCAAAACTGGGTCAAACTCCAGGGTCAAGGTCAAAGGGTCAAAGTTGTTGGTATTCAAAGGAAGGTCTTGTCACAAGAATAACATGTGAAGTATGAAAGCCCTAGCACATCGTTCAAAAGTTATGGCCAAGGTCGAAGTTAGATAAAATTTTGCAAAACTGGGTCAAACTCCAAGTTCAAGGTCAAAAGGTCAAACATAATGGTACCCAAAGAAAGATCTTGTCACAAGAAATACACATGTGAAATATGAAAGCCATAGCTTCAACCAATCAAAAGTTATGGGCAATGTTAAAGTTTTTGCGGACAAACAGACGAACGGACAGGACAAAAACTATATACCCCAGAATCTTCGATACATGGGCATAAAAATAGAATAGAAATGATACAGCACAATAACATTAAATATTTACAACAAAACTCTAACTTTTAATCTAGATTTTACCTAACTGTTTCCTGTGTTCTTTCCTTTCCTTCAACATTCATTTGTGCACCATGCTTGGTGAACAATAGGCCCAGCAATAAAAAGAAACTTTACAGTTTCCAATTATTGTTTTTACAGTCCAGTCTGAACTGACTTGCACCCCACCGTGGAAGAAGGTTCACCGTGGCTGTTACCTTTTTAAGAAGGATCTGGTCACGTGGTACGAGGCCAGGCAGACCTGTCAGGATGAGGGAGGTTACTTAGCCTCCATGTCCAGTAGAGCAGAAACGGTAAAGTGCTTTATTTCCATGTCCAGTAGAGTAGAAACGGTAAAGTGCTTTATTTCCATGTCCAGTAGAGTAGAAACGGTAAAGTGTTTTATTTCCATGTCCAGTAGAGTAGAAACGGTAAAGTGCTTTATTTCCATGTCCAGTAGAGTAGAAACGGTAAAGTTCTTTATTTCCATGTCCAGTAGAGTAGAAACGGTAAAGTTCTTTATTTCCATGTCCAGTAGAGCAGAAACGGTAAAGTGTTTTATTTCCATGTCCAGTAGAGCAGAAACGGTAAAGTGCTTTATTTCCATGTCCAGTAGACTAGAAACGGTAAAGTGTTTTATTTCCATGTCCAGTAGAGTAGAAACGGTAAAGTTCATTATTTCCATGTCCAGTAGAGCAGAAACGGTAAAGTGTTTTATTTCCATGTCCAGTAGAGCAGAAACGGTAAAGTGCTTTATTTCCATGTCCAGTAGACTAGAAACGGTAAAGTGTTTTATTTCCATGTCCAGTAGAGTAGAAACGGTAAAGTGCTTTATTTCCATGTCCAGTAGAGTAGAAACGGTAAAGTGTTTTATTTCCATGTCCAGTAGAGCAGAAACGATAAAGTGCTTTATTTCCATGTCCAGTAGAGTAGAAACGGTAAAGTGCTTTATTTTCATAATTATTTGATGAGGAATACATGCATACATACATGCATGTATCTCATTAGGGCTGATATGATTTATTTTTCAGTGCACGAAAGGTTTATATTTTGGGGGAATTGGGGGGGGGGGGATTTCAGACCTTTCTACTCTGACTCGGCCCTTTTTTAATCATGAGGACAGTGTGTATTTTTCTTAACAAAACATTAATATTCTGTTGTGTCTGTTCATTTTTATACTTTTTATATCTCCTTTTCATTAACACTCTAAAAGAATAGTCCATAAAAACCTTATATTTTTTCACCGTACTTGTGCATCTTATGCATACAATAAGCAAATCCTAGTTTTTTTTTTACTAGATGTAATTTCAGTTGACTTGTCGAGACAGAAAAGAGAAAAACATGTTAAAAGAATTCACAGATTATAACATATCACCGCTAGATAGAGAGAAAAATATCCTAAGCTTAGATAGTGTTCCCGGTGTAGAATGAACAGAGCATAGCCGAACTAGCATCACGATTTCTTCATAGAAACGTTTGTAAACAAAATAAAATTGAATTAAAAATACTTCCCGCACGAATATATAATTATATATATAGAACGTGAGTAGAATATCAGCTCTGATCCTACCTCCACCCCAACATTAGACAGTTAGCTCACGAAAAAGTTTCAATAGATTTGTATGTAACAATCATTTCAAAATTCCCAATTTCTACATCGTACTGATATAGATTTAAAAATTTCAAATTAATACAATTGGTTACGTTTATCTTAAATTTATTAAATAACAAAACAATTATATATTCCCGGTTTTTTTTAGTCAATTTATGATTAAGCCACCTTTTAAATAATATTCACCCTGCCCTTCGGGCTCGGTGAATTTTGTACTCCCCAGGAGGCTAAATCATCGTATTGACCTCAAAAAAGCAAGAATTGTATAAAATTTTGGGGCCTTGGATTTGATATGAAATTGTTGAATCATGTTAACCACAATACACAACATGTCGGTCCATGTCTCAATGTGGCCAATATTTAAGCAATAGTGTTCGATATTTCATAAAATATGTTGAAATAAATGCTTCTGTGAAATACGAATTTGCTAATTTGACTGATGTTCTGTGTAGGTAAGGGTTCTACTAAACATTCATCCTCTGATAAAGACAATATCTATGAAGCAGTGGTGGCTGGGACTGTCCCTCAATAAGACCATCGCCAAGTGGAAATGGGAAGACGGCACTGACCTTCAGACGACGGTCATGTAAGTATCAATAACGGAAACAAAGAAAACAAACGTACATATGTACCGAGGGTGATATAGGTATATCTGTCTTCGATAACCAGAAAAAAGCTTTTGTTCCCTTAAATCATGTATTAATCAATGTGTAGTTTCAATTTGTACTGACTCATGGTTCAACAGAAAACATCAAAGTTGTAAAACAAGAGGCCCATTGTCCACAATGTTCACCTGGGTCACATTGGTATTGTTGATAAATAATTATTTTCGGGCCTTTAAGTTTTGAGATATTAAATAAAATTGGTAGTTAGTCAATAAATAATAGTTTAATGTCTTTGTAGTGCTTGGAAACCAGGTGAGCCTAACAACTCTCTAAGAAAGGAAGAGTGTGGGGAAATGAATATTGCAGGCAAGCTAAACGACCAAAAATGTGACAAGTTCAACCCCTTCATCTGTGAGCAATATCCTCGTAAGTATACACACAACTGAAAGTTCGCCACATTCTTTATCTAGTAATTGGGTTTCCTGCGAGGTGCCCGGTCAATGAATTTCCTTAATAACTACGTATGTAAAAATGGAGATATGTCAAAGAAATAGATATCGAATAGATACCGGTGGATGTTCTGCCTCGATTTCTACCAAAAGAAATCCCTCGTGTGATCAGATCTGAACTCTGAAGGAAGTCTTATACTGTAGACGCACATGTACTTTTTTCCGCGTGGGATTTATTTATGCTAATATTTACACGGTCACATATTTTCCGCGAAAATTTGCCACAGTGTACTTAATGTGAATTTAGACATATAGCGGCAATCCAAGAAATTCGCATTATTTTCTACCCGCAGATTGAAAAAAAAATTGATTCCGCGGAATCATGACCCCGTGGAAAAAAGTACGCGTAAAATATTTTACTATTGTTCATGTCGACAGCAACAGCCCCACCTCCTTCCACAACCACCATCTCAAGTCCATCAGAAACAACCACCCTTCAATCTACAGCGGCGACGGAGAATCTTATACGCACAGTCAAAACTACCACATTCTTCAATCTAAATCAGACTTTTACAGAAAGTCAGACGCACGGTGAACCTGTAACATCTTCAGACGAGAACATACGAGTATCGTCATCAGTAGTCATGACAACAAAGGATGACAAAAAAGTGTACACGGAAAACCATCTGAATGATTCTAAGACAAATTCACAAATGACATCAGAACCTTCAAGTATTGTGAAAATTACCCCTAGACCTTCACCTATTTATCCTAAAACGCTAATGGCCAACGTATCGAGCCAACACAACACATCAATGGCCTCTACTAGGTTTCATAAAACACATTCTCAAAGTACAACGACTGCAATTGGAAACCAAGACAAAAATGGGTGTACACCCCTGGAAGCCTACGAAATTTCCTGGCCAAGAGCAAGCAATGGAGAGGTGGTCAGTCGTCCATGTAAAACTGGACATGGCAAGTAACTCTGAATTTTTCTCGGGGGGGGGGGGGGGTCATTATTTCTACATGTATCATAATCTCGCAATGTAGCATGATAAATGTTTGATTGTCCATTGTTTTAGGGTTTGCCAGCTGGAAGTGCGATGATGTAAAAGCAGAATGGGTGGGAAGACCTAATATTGAAGACTGTGTGTCTAAAGATGTACGAAATCTTGAATTTAGCTGCTATCCATTGTATTTCACCTTATTTGCTTTTAAAAAACTGATATTTTCATTCTTCAGTCATTTATTCTATTTGAAGTTAAGGAGAATCCTGAATCAGAAATTGGTCACAACAGAAGATGTCTCCCAGCTTACAGCAGATTTAGTGGACACTTTAGATGCTAGCAAAAGAACAGTAGCAGACATCGTGACAACATCTCGTGTGCTGAAGTCCATCTCGGACTTAAACCCAAAAGATGAAAACGATTTCAGAAATTTTGCACAAGTAATTTAGTTTTATTTAAAGTTTTACTTTCTGAAATATCATCATAAATTAAGGTGACAATGCGATATACGAGTTATATTACTGTTTTATTTGCAGGACACGGTATCAATAGGAAGTTTGATGATAAAGCAGACGAGAGACGCCTTGGATCTTTCACCTGATGATAAAAAAAGAGTGGCCTCTGTCATCTTGTCAGCTGTTGAGGATGCAGCCAGCAAACTTCTTGATTCCATGGACAAACCGATGGCGTTCGAAACTAAATCGCATTCAATATGTAAGAAACTATGCCGCCTTCTCCATGTAGTTGACTCACTGTGTTGTTTATGGATAGTTCAATGTATCTGAGCTATTATGCTTCTTTTTACAGTGGCAATGTTCCATGTCTTGGACTCAAACTCCGCAAATGACTTGAGGTTCAATACTGGAGATAGAGAAACAGATTTCCTTGTTCCCTCACATACAATACGACATTACAACAGAGGTACATGCACACCTATTTTCATCTTTGTTCATTATTATTACTTCAAATCTTCCAATACACATTTGTGACCTGGTAATATTTTTCAGACGGTTTAACAAAAGTGGTATTCTTAAAGCACTTCAATGGCGCCCATTTACTTCCTGTTCCTGATATAAACTACACTATCCTCAAAGACATCCTCAGTGCTTCTATTTTTGGTTTTGATGTCAACAATCTGCAAGATCCGGTGACGTACACCATGAAACTAGAAAAAAACAGGTTTTCTGGCTCTCCCATAGCAACACCGCTTTGCTCCTTCTGGAACTTTACAAAAGGGTAATGAAATACACGATTTACTGGTAATAATTATTTAATGTTTGTCTCTAAACATGGTGGATACATTTTGTTGTTGTTTTACTAGGTTTCCTGTATGTCTGTCAATCTGTCCGTCTGTTAAAATCGTATCAAGGTCATAACCCTGAAAATCTCATAGGAGCATTTTTAAAAATCTTTTTACCAAAAAGGTGAGTCGTCTTTGAACAAAGACAAGTTGAAAATGTGTCCAGCTGGTTATAACTTTGGAATCCTTTATCAAAATTTATCATAAGTTTGAGATTGTTGGCTTAAAAGCGTGTCATTGTTAATTGGGGATACATCTCGCAAGTCATGATCACTTTGTAAAAAAAAGTTGTAATTCTTCCCATAACTTTGAAAGTATGATTGAATGAACCTTTAGTACCTATCCAGGCGTCCTGGTCTTTACAATGCCATCTTAAAGATTTCAAAATCTTAACAAGGCTGAAATGTGTAGCCTTGGAACTTTTGATTAGTATGATTCGAAACTTCAGCAGTTGTTGCCTTATGACCCAAAGTTAGGTAAAATTAAAATAAATACAATCACTTTTATGCTGCTAATCAGTGTATGGAATGTCTACATTTTGATTCAGTAACATCAAGTTTATCAGTGACAACCAGGGGTGTGGTCACAGAGGGGATAAATCAGGTAGCCGCTGGAAAAAGTGAAACGTCTTTTCTGTATTACAGCGAAGTTGGAGATTGGTCACAAGAAGGTTGCTCACTGAGAGACATGAACAGTACACATGTTACATGCCAGTGTAACCACCTAACAAACTTTGCCATTCTTATGGACGTGTCAGGAGTTGAGGTAGAAAATCCATTAGATAATTTCATTTGTATCTAGCTCATCTCAGTTTTGTCAGAGCGGTTCAAAGCTAGAATTTGTAACACACATACGTGTATACTTTAACATTCCTACTTATATTACAACAGCTGGGATATGAGCACGTCATGTCACTGACCTTTATAAGTTACATTGGGTGCATCGTCTCCATCATATTCCTTGCCACCAGTTGGTTAACCTTCCAATGTCTAGGGTAAGACCTAACGTAGCATCTCGTGAAAAAAAAAAGATAGAAAAAGGCAATATCTGTTTCCTGCTTTTGGAATTGGTTCCGTTTGCTAGACAAAAAGTTCCAAATTTCTTGGTTACCTTTCACGTTTCCCCGTGATATATGTTTATACATAAATTTGTTAGCATAAATATTTTCTTCAAAGGTCGTTGCAAGGCGAGAGGAACTCCATTCACAAGAATCTAGTGTTTTGCCTGTTTGTAGCAGAGGTCATCTTTTTAATTGGCATCGGAAGAACAGAACAAAAGGTGCGATGGTTTAGATACAGCGTATTTACATGTCTCCGAATATTCTACACACATACTTCAAACAGCTTGTGATGTTTTATTCTTCAGCGGTAGTTTATATGTCAAGATATACTATGATTTATTTTCATCATAACAAGTTGTAATAAACATCGTTTTGACAAATTCCACCTGGAATAATACAAGAAATATTCGTAACCCTCGTCTTTTCTTTTCTCACAAGGTCACATGTGCTGCCACGGCACTTCTTCTTCACTTCTTTTTCCTGTCCGCCTTCACTTGGATGTTGATGGAAGGAATTCACATTGTAGTCATGCTTGTGCAAGTGTTCGATGCGGCCAAGTCGAGGCTGAAATATTATTATCTTGTAGGTTATGGTCAGTATCAATTAGTCCAATATGTTAAAAATATCGTCAACACCACACCTTCTAATGTTTCACTGTTATCAAATTGAAGTCTCCTAAAACACAAGTAACGTTTATTTATCAACTTAAGATTTTGATGAATCATGATCAGTAAGGCTTATATTATATTCAGCGAGTAATGTATTTTACTTTGATATTTTGAAGATTATTTTTGTGTATTCTAAAATTAATTAATTGTTTAATTCGTCATTATTCAATATTTAGATGTTTTCTTAATCCTTTGTTATGCATTGATTATTTTAACCATGGTTTCCATTTTGAATTTCTTTTCTGGCACAGTACAAGAACTGAAAATTATAAAATAAAAAAAAAACCTGAAATACAGATAAAGGGATATTGACTGACATTCTTTTCTTAATATATTAAAGACTATAAATAAATTTATTCTGAATTTCTTGTGCATCTTTGTATGGACATACTTTAAAAAAGGTGCAAAATGAATCGTCATATTGGGTGCCATAATGATGAGCGTAAGATTTGTCAATTCAGAGGTATTGTATTAAAATACCTGCTCAAAACTATACGTAGTGCTTTGAAAAATACATGACAGTCACATGGTCGATTTTACTTAAGATGATTAAATTGTTTCCGAAGAAATTTGAATGCAAACAAAATGTATGACGTATGGAAAATCCTTAAGCCGGATACAAGTGTTTACCATTATAAAAACTGCTGAAATTCTATATCGAGGAAAATAAACAATCTTGAAGTAAAACATTTGCTTTCAAGGATATCGTTTTTACCATCCGAGGGACAAAAGTTCAATACATTCTATTGCCTTAGTTTGCCAAACAGGAAATTCAAATGAAATTTTATCTATCTAAAGGTTAACTTTTCTTTCTTTAGAATTTACAGTTCGGGGAAATGTCAGCTAATTTTAATTATCAGGATGTTCTAAGTTTTTCATTGACATCCTTATTGAGCAGCTTATAATTCTGGTATATGTAATTTTACAGGCGCTCCTATCATTGTGGTCGGCATAACAGCAACCGCAGACTTTACTGCTTATGGAACGGATAATTAGTAAGTTCTAAGACTGACATCGCACAATTTCAAGATTAACGTTTACAGTCCTACAATATTTCAAACTCCATTTAAAGTGTGCGTGTCCAAATTTAACAGATTTAAACTCAGAATATTTTTACTTTCTTCTTGTCTAGTTGTTGGTTGACAACACAAAACTGGTTCATCTGGAGTTTTGCTGGCCCTGTAGCTTTAGTGCTTGTGGTAAGTTAACTCGTCAAGTATACAAACATGCCTGTTGTATATTACATGTTCAAAGGCGAATTTATTTGGGGGAAAAAGTTTAAAAACAAAATTAAAAAAAAAACTGGCGATAAAAATCTTTGTTGTTTGTTGGCCATCTTTATTTTTATCAATAATGAAACTAATGACAGATTTTTCTTCTAGGTCAATGCCTTGGTGCTTTTTTATTCCATGACAATGGTGTGCAGACATTCCGCTTACGTGTTTACTCAAGATCGCTCACAATCAGGGACATTTAGGTCTTTCTTTCTCTCATTTTTTCTCTCTCTCATAATTAAACGTACATGTTTGTAAGTTATATATTCAGACGAGTGATTTTTGTCATTCAGGGCATGGATCCAAGGTGCTTTTGCTATTGAGGTTTTGCTTGGGTTGACTTGGGTTTTTGGGTACTTTTTCATCAATAAGGAGTCGGTAGCGATGGCCTATATTTTTACCATACTGAACAGTCTCCAGGGACTCTTTATATTCATCTTCCACTGCGCCATGAACAGAAAAGTAAGAAAAAATACAGTGCATATTTTGGGAATTACAGATCATAAAAATAATTACATTAAAATTACTCAAAGAATGAAATATAAGTTAAAGCATCATACTAGAATAACAAATTTTGAATTCCCGTTTAAGGTAAGAGGGGAATACAAAAGACTTGTACGTCTCAGCAAGCGAGTGCCTCCTACAACTAAACCACAGTCCAACTCAGTCCGAAAGCAGAGCGGCTCATATGAATTGTATGTTCCTTCCTCCTAACCAGAAGATTGGCTGTTTTCAATTTATAAATCATATAATCAACTGATTAAGACATCTAGATGTATAAAGGATCGTTAGATTTTACAATCCTAAGCACTCATGAAAACAAAAAAGAGGTCTGTAGCCGTCAAAGACGCACCCCTGCGTAAAAATTAAGTTCTGTCTCAAAACCTGTTTATATTTTTCTTTGGAGCAGTATTATTTTTTAATGCGTTGTTCATTTTTTGCATGAACGACATATTTTGTTGATATGTTTATCTTTAAAGTTTGAGGCCAGTACATGTACATGTATTATGATAAACTAAGAACATTATTTTGTCTCGTATTTTGATTTTTTTTGTTTGCATTTTTAATTAGACTTTACGTCAATAATTAAGGTCTTCCGTTTCAGACGGAAGACCTTATAGTGATTCTACTGTTTCTTTTTTTTCTTTTTATTATTATTATTTTTGTTCCCTTTCTTGTTTTCACGATTTCTCAGAGATGGCTGGACGGATTTTCTTGAAATTTTCAGGGATAATAGAAAATAAAAATACCTACAAAAGTATCTTTCATTTTTTTCAAGATTCACTTCCGGTCGTCAGATATGTCCGATTTCCGTTTTTTTCAGAAATATTTTGTCCGAGTCATATCTCAGAAACGGTAAGAGATTAAGACACCAAACTTATATGAGTAATAGATCTTGAGGAGTAGGCAAATCCATTTGGGTTAAGAGCGTCAGCCGTCACTTCCGGTCGTCACAGGAAGTGATTAAAGAAATCGAAATTTTCAACTTTTCTTTTTTGATTTTTTTCTTTCATCACCTTGTTGGATCTTATTTGTAGATTCGAAATATGTTGGTTTCACCGGAAACAAAAACGTCAACTTCCGGCTATAAGCGAAAAACTGCATAATTTGAGTATTTTACTTTCCCATAAATATTTTTTATAGATAAAGTATTTGAACTGATTTTTAAATATGTTATCAAGACTGCAAATGTTTAGAGTAACCTCAAATATCTTTGAAAAATTCACTTCCGGTCGCGCGTTTAAATGTCCGCAAATTGAGAACTTGTCCCAGTGATATTTCAGAAACGGTAAGAGATTTAGACACCAAACTTATAGGAGTATTAGACCTTGACGAGTAGACAAAACCATTTGGGTTAAGAGCGTCAGCCGTCACTTCCGGTCGTCACAGGAAGTGATCAAAGAAATCAAAAATTTCAACTTTTCTCTTTTGGAATAAGACTTGCATCATATAATTGTATCTTTTTCACAGTTACGATATGTGTTGGTCTCACCAGAACCAAAAAACGACAACTTCCGGTTATAAGAGAAAAACTATATAATAGGGGTTTTTAATTTTCCCATACATATCGCCTATAGATAGAGGTCTTTAAATGATTTTAATATATGTTATTGAGACTGCAGATGTCTAGAGTGACGTGAAATATCTTAGTAAAATTCACTTCCGGTCGCCTGTTTTCTTGTCCTCAAAATGAAAAGTTATTTCAGAGAGATCTCGGAAACGGCATGAGATTAAGACACTAAACTTATAGGAGTAATAAACCTTGGTGAGTAGGCAAAACATATAGGGTTAAACACGTAAGCTGTCACTTCCGGTCGTCACAGGAAGTGATCAAAGAAATCAGAAATTTAACTTTTATTCTTAAAATTAAAACTTGCATCGCATTATTGCTTCTCTTTCGCTGTTTTGAAATATGTTAGATTCTACTGGAAACAAAAACTTTAACATTCCGGTTTTAAGAGATAAACTACGTTATTTCGTGGTTTAACTTTCTCATAAATATCACTTATATATCAGTATTTGAAATGTTTTTTACATATGTTGTAGATATTGCAAAAGTCAAGAGAAAATTCAGAGATTTTTATTCAGTTCACTTCTGGTCGTGTGTTTTCCTGTACTCAAAATTAGAATTTGTTCTCACAATTGTTCGGCAACAATAATAGACTGAAGTCTAAATCTTTCTGGACTTATAGTCAGTCATCAGTTCATTTGCATCTTGTAAAAATCGTGTGTCGTCATTACTTCCGGTCGTGACAGGAAACGAAGCAAAAAAGTAATTTTTTGAGATATTTTGTTTCTACATAATTTTTAGGCTAATACCGACGTTGGAAAAGACATGTTGATGCAAAGAGGAAGTAGTATAACGGAAGACCTTCTCATTACTAGTAATGAGTTTCTAGTATTCTTAATATTATTGTATAGACGAAATTTGGTAAAGGACTATGTCCGCTCCATTTCTCCAGAACAGCTTAAGATGTGAAAGTTAACTTTGTCAGATATCATAGATAATGACTTGTAGATGTCACCATGAATATTTTTTCCGTCGTCAATACTTCCGGTCGTCACAGAAATTGGATTAAAAAGTCGATTTTTTCTATTTCTTCGTCTTTCTAACTTCTTTTTTCTGTAATATTCATAGGGCATGTAAAGGCCCCTCTTTGAAGATTTTACGTATTACCAGTTTCTTGATAGGATTAAGAAGGAATTAAATATCTTTAAATATCTAAGAATTTCCGAAAACGTAGGACCAACGTTTCTTAAACACTACAAAATATTGATTTTTCCCCCGTATATATAGTTTGCGGGGACTGCTTAGTGCTCATTCACGTAGGAAGTGGTGTAGAGATAACACCTACCAGGTGATTGGGATAGGCCAGAAAAACTTTCCCGTTGTCATGGAAACGAGTTTATATTAAATAAAAACGGTTGTATATGATATGTGTGTGCAATTTATTCGCCCCTATTTTTTGTCAACTGTAGAAGACATTGCCATCTTTACCCCCCCCCCCCCCTTTTCTCTTTTATGTTTTGCATTCTTTATAAAATGACCTTGACCTTCGTATCACAAGCAACTCTTCTTGACGTTTTCAAAATTATAAGCCTTAATTCTTTCTACAAAATAATGCTAATTTACATGTTTATGTTCAAGACCCCCCCCCCCCCTCTTCCTCGAAGCAACCAGGTAGAATACACAGATATAAAATTCACAACTTATAAGGAACTTCTTAAGAGTTTCATTAATAAAATTCGGTTCCCCTGATGTGATTTGATATTTTGCTACCATTCATTCTTCTTCTGTTTTGTCTATAGAATTTATAATTATTTTATTTAGAATTAATTTATCTTTAGAAAGTAGTGATTGTCAGCTGCATTCATTAGCATTTCGCGTTTTCTTGTATATCTATTACTTGCATATTAATAATTTCATTAAATAATATTTAAAAGTATTAAAACTTCATTTCTATTAAATTTTATTAATTTGTAAATCCTTGGATCCGCTCCTGCAGGTGCGCGAAAGCCTCATCACTACTGTAAACAAATTATTCATCACGCCGAAAATGTTCATGATTCCGCTAAACTAAGAAAGTTTACACATAGTTTTTCATCTCATAAACAACCATCAGCCCTGTCCAATGCAGAAATGCTCGAATTGAAGGGGAAAATTCAGGAATTGTTTTGCGTCAGCCATGTTTTGACGTGAACCTTACACGGCATTCTGTTATTAAGGTCTTCCGTTTCAGACGGAAGACCTTATAGTGATTCTACTGTTTCTTCTTTTTCTTTTTATTAAGGTCTTCCGTTTCAGACGGAAGACCTTATAGTGATTCTACTGTTTCTTTTTATTATTTTTTTTTTTCCCCTTTTCTTGTCGGAGCGTTTTCTCAGAGATGGCTGGACGGATTTTCTTGAAATTTTCAGGGATGATAGAGAATGAAAATACCCCTAGGCGTTTTTTTCATTTTTTCAAAATTCACTTCCGGTCGTCAGATATGTCCGATTTCCGTTTTTTTCAAAAATATTTTGTCCCAGTCATATCTCAGAAAAGGTAAGAGATTAAGACACCAAACCTATACGGTTAATAGATCTTGAGGAGTAGGCAAAACCATTTGGGTTAAGAGCGTCAGCCGTCACTTCCGGTCGTCACAGGAAGTGATCAAAGAAATCGAAATTTTCAACTTTTCTTTTTTGATTTTTTTCTTTCATTACATTGTTGCATCTTATTTGTAGATTCGAAATATGTTAGTCTTACCGGAACCAAAAACGTCAACTTCCGGCTATAAGTGAAAAACTGCATAATTTGAGTATTTTACTTTCCCATAAATATTTTTTATACATAATGTATTTGAACTGATTTTTGAATATGTTATCAAGACTGCAAATGTCTAGAGTAACGTCAAATATCTTTGTAAAATTCACTTCCGGTCGCGCGTTTAAATGTCCGCAAAATGAGAACTTGTCCGAGTGAGATCTCAGAAACGGTAAGAGATTTAGACACCAAACTGATAAGAGTATTAAACCTTGAGAAGTAGACAAAACAATTTGGCTTAAGAGCGTCAGTCGTCACTTCCGGTCGTCACAGGAAGTGATCAAAGAAATCGAAAATTTCAAATTTTCTCTTTTGAAATAAGACTTGCATCATATAATTGTATCTTTTTCACAGTTACGAGATGTCTTGGTTCCACCGGAAACAAAAAACGACAACTTTCGGTTTTAAGAGAAAAACTACATAATAGGGGTTTTGAATTTCCCCCAACATATCGCTTATAGATAGAGTTCTTTAAATGATTTTTATATATGTTATTGAGACTGCAGTTGTCTAGATTGACATGAAATATCTTAATAAAATTCACTTCCGGTCGCGTGTTTTCTTGTCCACAAAATGAAAAGTTATTTCAGCGAGATCTCGGAAACGGCATGAAAGTAAAACACCAAACTTGTAGGAGTAATAAAACTTGGTGAGAAGGCAAAACACATAGGGTTAAAAGCGTCAGCCGTCATTTCCGGTCATCACAGGAAGTGATCGAAGAAATCGAAAATTTCAACTTTTCTTTTTAAAATTAAAATTTTCATCACTTTATTGCTTCCCTTTCGCTGTTTTAAAATATGTTAAATTCCACCGGAAAAAAACTTTAAACTTCCGGTTTTAAAAGATAAACTACGTTATTTCGTGGTTTAGCTTTCTCATAAATATCACTTATAGATAAGTAATTGAAATGTTTTTTTTTTTTTTTTTTTTTTTTTTTTTTTTTTTTTTTTTTTTTTACATATGCTGTAGATACTGCAAAAGTCAAGAGAAAATTCAGAGATTTTTATTCAGTTCACTTCCGGTCGTGTGTTTTCTTGTCCTCAAAATTAGAATTTGTTCTCACAATTGTTCGGCAACAGTAAAAGACTGAACTCTAAAACTTTCAGGACTTATAGTCAGTCATCAGTTCATTTGCTTGGTGTAAAAATCGTGTGTCGTCATTACTTCCGGTCGTGAGAGGAAACGAAGCAAAAAAGTATATTTTAAGTTATTTGGTTTCTACATAAGTTTTAGGCTAATACCGACGTTGGAAAAGACATGTTCATGCAAACAGGAAGTCGTATAACGGAAGACCTTCTCATTACTAGTAATGAGTTTCTAGTTTACTAGTATTATTCTACTTGTACATGTAAGATAGGTGTTACTCAAACATTTGTTTTAAATCATTTTTTTCAGAGAGGTACCATTAAAAGTTGTTTTGATAGGTTTGAATTAATCATTTAGTAAATTGTTATAAAATACGAAAGTAAATGCGCATTAAAAATGATTTGTATGACTTAAAGTCCCCCAAATTAACAGCATTTAAATAGAACTTTTAATTTGTTTAAAATTACTTCGTTTTCCTTTACTCGCTCAGGGTTGTATTATAAATATATTTAAAATTTGAGTTGATTTTTGAAAACAAGAACTTAGTATATTTATGAAAAATTAAATACCGGTATGTCCCGAAGCCTTTAATACCCAATATTATACTTTCATGTAAATAAGTTGAATCTGATTCATGGAGAAACGTTTGCTAAAAATACTATTACCCGCTGAATTATGAAGCCACGCCTTCCAGCATAGCAACAGTCAACATTGCTTGACGACGGGTGATATTCCAAAAAAATATTGACTGCACAGAATTTATGCGCTCAAGGTTCACTGTAATATGTATATGTATAAAACATTCATTCAGTATAATATAATAATACTGCACGTAGTTGAGTGTAACATTGAAAATTGTCACCCCTCGAAAACCATTGTCAACCGAGGGTGCGCCTTGGTTGACAATAGTTTTCGAGGGGTGACAATTTTCAATGTTACACTCAACTACACATTACATGCAATATTTGTATATTACTGGTTCCATGTTTTATGTATTTGTCGATATTTTAGTATGTATGTTATATGTGAGAATAGATTTGAATGACGCTTCACTGCCACCTTATTTTTGTTGTTTGTGTGTTGTACAATTATAACTGTTTACATTTTTTTTTTTACTTTTTATACAATAAATTGTTATACGAACACGTGCTTATCACTTTTTCTTAAGAAGCTATTCTTGGAAATCAGCAGCCTCAAATTCTTTAAGACTTGATTAAACTTTGGAAATAGAGTGTCTTAATATTTCAGGAATATTTTGCTATTGAAATTTTTGCGTATTTGTCCTGTCCACAAAAAATGGGCAACCGTTGAAAATAAGTATATACAGTGTTCTGAATGATACTAAGGAAACAGGTATCTGGTTAGATGACCACATGTAGATCAAAGATTTTAAATGTTTATTTCAAATTTTAAATATCACATTGCATCAATCTGACTCTAAAAAATGGAAGTGAAAAACTTCTACAGTATAATTCATGTTACAAATTAAAAATGTACATTTCAACAATTTTGTCTCTCTCTCTCTCTCTCTCAGAGAACAAAAACTTTCTTTCTTTCTTTTTTTTTTTGATATGACTAGAAAACACTCAGACATAAATGTTCTGCAAACAAATATTCATACATATATGACAATCATAAATAACCTAATTATTTAAATTAATAGATGGAAAAAAGTCAATGAAGATTGCAGTGAAAAATGAAAATCAAGTTACAAACAAAAACAAGAAAAAAAAAAGAAATATATGTAAATGTTGACAAAACTAAAGATAATTAAATATCATTAATATAAATAGATTCAATATTATGTTCACCAAGACAGAGACATCACAGATATGGGACACACTGATGATAAACCAGCTAAACAAAGAACTCAACAGGTACCAGTTAGGAGAACCAGTGTAACGGTCAATAAAACCAGCACTCAATTTAGAAGTGTAAACAGGTCCAGGTTCTGATCATAAACCATGAGACTGTATGAGGTATACTTTAAATTTAATTGAAATCAGCTCATATTAATAAAAAAGTTGGGCTCAGCTTTGATCATTTAGAACCAGACCTGCATGGTTAATTAAGGATCAGCCAGAATCTCCTTTGACAACAAATTCTGTTGTCAGAGCAAAGAATAAAGCCTTGTATGTAATCACTTTCCTCCTGCTAACAACTATTTCTGGCTACAGACTGGTACCAGACAACAGCTCTCTATGGATTCGGTTAATTATTTTATGATATGAACAGCAGAATACATATTATAATTGTCACAGTTACTGTAATGAGAATATGGGAACCAAATATGGCCTTCTTCACTTTGCTGTACTGTAAAGAAGAAAAAAAATGTATATTAAAATCTACATTTAAAGAATATGAAACATTTTTTCAAATCAAATCACTATAATTAATACAAGGAAGCAATGAACTACAATGTTCAATGAGTCACTCATTGAGGAAGTATAAACAATTTTACCAACAGTGATAAAATTGCTCCTTAATTTTGAGAAAGTCGATCGTTTAAATGTTGGATCAGTAGTGGACCCACTCTTGCAATTTGGGATGTCAATTTTATTATTAAAGTCAACAAGAATTCTTGTTGCATGTCAAGAAAGTATTACATGTACAGTATTTGGTAAGTCTTGATATAAAGTTCTTGATACTGTTACACATACATATTGATGATCATTGTAACAAACTAAGTATTTTGTATACATATAATAAATACTTATTGTACCCTGCTTTTGCTAAAAGATAGGATTAATTTGGGTCAGTCCACTGACTGACATTCTGTCTATATGTAACACTTTAGTTTCCAGAAGATTATCTCAAACAGTCCTTTATAGTTTTTGCAACAAGATTTATATCATAACTCATTATGATTTAACAATTATGAATATTGATTTTGTGGTCAAAAAGTTTAAGGTAGTAAGAAATTCACATGCATGTATATGTATATAAATGTAAATATGTAATTTATGTTTATTTCCATGTGATAACTCAGTTCTCTTTGAGCTTTTTAAAAGAAATTTCATATCATAACTTCTTATGACATTAAAAAGAACCCTATTGACTTTGAGATCAAAAAGGTCTAAGGTCAAGGGCAGTTTATATATTGCACAAAATGGTTTCCAAATGATAACTTTAGTTCTCTCTAAGCTTTGGAGATGAAAGAACTGCAAACAATAGCATTGTTCTCCCACCTACCTCCAAGTCAATTTTCAAAAGTTAACACATTTGAATGATTTTTTTAATATTTATATAGATATTTATATGAATTTTCATAAAATATCACTTCTTTGGGAAAACAAAGAGAGATAACTCTATAATTTAGGTAAAACTTGTGTTTTACACTATAGAAATCAATGGAAAACGGGAAATATTTTAAAAACATCCCCCCCCCCCCCCACAGTGAAACAAAAATTCCTTTTTACAGGTAATATGGACTGTCATTTCACAAATGCATACCAAAGCGTTTTGTGTTTAAATGGGGGGGGGGGGGGGGACAACATATGTTTACAGACAAAAAACTACAAAAATGGTTATTTTTTCACAAATTTCAAAGGGTTTTACAACTAAAATATTGTATTTTATTAATAATATTTATGTTTAATTTTATATGCTTAAAACCTAAGAAAAGATATTTTAAAATGTGTTGATGCTTTAAAGTCCGATTTCAATGGAAAATATCGTTTACAGAGAGAGTTAGCATGCATAGTTCTTTTATAACTCCCTATTGTGTAAATTTAGAAATATGCCTATTGATTTTTAGGTCAGATATTCAAATGATGCATTAAAAGGTTTTCAGACGATAATTGAATTCTGTTGTGTTTTTGTTATGAGTCATAAGGTGATGACCTTCTAACTTAAGACCAATATTGATTTTGAGACTACTGTGAAATGTCAAAGTCAATCCCTCTTTTCTTTCTTCATCTTCCACCCAATTCTTTTCTCCTTAAGCAGGGGACATTAATTCCCTAAATTAGCTTGTATATTTTAATTTTGAAACTAAAAAAAATATAAATATAATGCTGATATTACATTTTGTTTGTACACACATTTCAATACAAGTCAAATTACCTTCTATTTAAATGTATGAAAAGTACATAGAAAAGCACTTGTGTATAATTGTATTATGCTCCAAATTCCTTGGAAGATTAATATTGAGTGATTAAACATTATACTTCAGGTAGCTGATAATCTAGGGTAACTTCGTACACACAAATGACCATGGAAGTACTTAGGAAGGAAATTTTATGAGTACATGTACTATATAGTTACCGGTGGCTCAATGTCCAAGGAATGATTCACACTGGAGTAGTGTGGCTTTCTGTGCATTTCATAAATGTACGTCTGATCCCTCTTATGTTCTGTAATATAGTAAGAGCAAGAATCCAATGTAGCTCTTAATTACAACATATAAATACAGAATTCATGTCATACTGTTGAGTCACTTTATGTATAGACATGTATCAGAACTAGAGAACTTAAAATCAATAAATCCATATGACATATAGGATAAGTGTTCTTTAACTGACCTGCTCTTTTAGAAATAAAGCTGTGAACTTCCAAAATGAAGAAAACAATAAGCAGGTAGCAGACATATGCTATCAGAATGTAGCTTATGTAGAATGGGGCTCTAGCTTTGGCCAATTCCACACCAGCAAATAACGTCACAACTGGAAGGCAAAATGTTCACATTATATTTTTGGTACAAAATTTCAGTAATCCTTCTTTTTTAAAGGGCCAAACAGTACACTGTATGTTACGTAAATAAATTGTAAAACTTACTTGCTAAGAAATGGGCACCAGTGCCCACTGCCCAGTGAATCCAATTGAATATTTTTCTCTTTATGGTGCCAGGAAGGGGCCTCAGAATGGCTATTATGGGCTGAAATTGTACACAAAAGTCATCAACTTTCTTTTGGAGAGAAGCCTAGATACAGTCAAACCTCATTATCTCAAACTCTATGGGACCGAGAAAAAACTATCCGATGATTTGCGATATCCAGGGTAGATTACTTAGGGAATAAGTAGTTAGGACTTCCAAATCACTTTGACATATCCATGGTATTCGAGATATCAGTGTTCAAGATATATGGAAGTTCAACTGTATGTTTTCTGGTGTACACATTTTTTTTCATATACAAAGTGCATGGTTAAAACTAAAAGCAACATTGAATTATTTCCAAATAGTCAGTTGAAGTACAAATGGCTTTTGACACTTACATTAGCAATAGTAAAGAGAGTGACCAGAAGACCCATAACAGGGTGAGCCTGGTGAAAGGTTTTGCCATCAATCTGGAAAAAAAGAACACCCTCTGATAATGGAAAAGCAGATTAATAACATCTTAGGTTACAAGTTGTTCAAATAAATTTGTTCTTTTAAGTTCTTTGTTAACAACACTGAGGGGTTAAAAACAGTATTTTAAATAATGTGTAAGGTTTACACACTTTTGATCAGTTGAGACCTTATTGGCTTAATTAACCTCTTACCTGACTATATCCTTGTATTTCAACAAAAATCAGGATAATTCCCACCATTACACACAGAAACAGGGTTATCATACAGAACTTATGAGACTGAAAAAATGATAGGCATTTCATAACATTTACAAAGAATTTCTTATTTCATCTTGTATAGAATTTATACTATATTAACTTATATCTATAACTGATTGAGAGTACAATTGGTTATCCTCCAACAGCTCTGCTTTAGATAGGTGCACATGTGCAATTAGCTTTTGTGGATTTCTTAATTTAGACTGATTTATAAAAAAGCTACATTCTTCATAATAACTTCACAAGAGGCCCATGGACCACAACGCTCACCAGAGTTACTTTGGCCCTGCTGATCTTCACCAGATTTTCCCCCATGTAATACTTATTATAGCCCCATGATGATCAGACCTACCCCTGGGGGTCATGATTTGAACCATTTAGAATCTACACTACCCCAGGATGCTTCCACATAAGTTTCTGCTTTTCTGGCCCAGCGGTTCTTGAGGAGAAGATTTTTAAAGATTTTTCCTATATATTTCAATGTAAAACTTAGATTCCCTATGTGGCCCCACCCTACCCCAATTGAACAATTTAGAATCTATGCTATATCAGGATGCTTCCATGTAAGTTTTAGCTTTCCTAGTCCAGTGGTTCTTGAGGAGAAGATTTTTTAATGACCCCACTCTATTTTTTGTTTTTTCTTGATTATCTCCCCTTGTAAGGGGGCTAGGCCTTTCATTTTAAAAAATTAAACTCCCTTTTACCCAAGGATGCTTTGTATAAACTTTGGTTAAAATTGCCACAGTGGTTTTTGAGGAGAAGTTGAAAATGTGAAAAGTTTACAGACGGACGGCGGACAATGGATGATCAGAAAAGCTCACTTGAGCTTTGAGCTAAAAAGTACATTTGTCAACAAATATACTCTCATTCTTCTTATAAACAAGATCATTCTAACACCTGCTCCTTAAAGACTAAATTGTTAATCTTTGATACCGACATAGTTCCTTGCCATAAAACCAATTCTCTAAAGAGTTTGTCAAGAAATTGTAAAATTCTGACAAGAGAGATGTATGGCAAACACTATATAAGGTTATGAACAATAACATGCACTAGATTTAGACCTGTACACAGTTAAGCTCACCTGGTACCAGATTCTCTCCCTCAGACATGTTTCCTCTAGCCACACAGTCTTATAGTATCTAACAGCAATAATTCCTATACTAGCTAGACAGATCCAGGCAATAACCATCAAACAACCTAATAAAGAGAAAAGCCATATGTACTGGCATAATACAACTAAACATGTACATATCTATAAAGTTAAGTGAATTTTATTGTCAGGATTATAAAAATGTTTTCCTAAATAAGAGGCTGTTGGGACATGTTCGACAAAGTTGATTATTATGGACCAAAAATTGACAAGCATACTCCCCAAAGGTACAGGGGTGCAGTCCATGGATGCTGGAAGAGAGGTTTTGGACCTACTACACATTCCCCCAGCACACGCTTAAAGTTTGGTTTTTATTCTCTCTCTCTCTTTGGGAAATGACATAGTTACTCAAGCATACTACAGTAGGCCTAGCTATGACTTGTGGCCTAGAAAATACTAACTTTTCTCAAGAATAACATTTTTAGGCAAGTATGGGCTTCTATTGCTTCTTTCCTGGTAAATGATGACTCGGAAAAAAAAAATCCTTTTGGTGTCCTAATTTTCAACTTCATCATTTTAGGCTTAGACTTTAACTGGAGCAAAAGAATTTTACAATTCTTCCAAAAGTAATGCTGTGTATCTTAAAGCTGTTTTTTACTACATAAGTAAGAAAGGTGTCTTATTGGTTTTAAAGGATTTGAATTTCAAAGCTTAAAAAATTTATTAACTTGCCACATTAACATAATGTTTAATGTATATCCTATTCATTCTTTCAAAAGGCCAATTGATTCAGGGCAAACAATTTAACTTAACAATTGTAACTAAAATAATTTCTTACTGAAAGTTATTTGATTATCATAATAATTACATACCATGAACTTTGACCAGGAAATACACAGCCTTCCCCTGTATGTTGCTGTGTTTCTGGAGATCCACAGGTTTTGAGGACACAATCGGGAGATCCCGAACACTGTGTCTCCTCTTCACTCCTGTTCAATGTGATAATGCACTGTGAAATCTCTAATTTTAATGGGTTTTATTTTTGTTGTTTTCATGTTATGAGGGGACACACAAATTCATGTCCCCACAAAATGCTTAAATTTTATATCATACATTGTAGTATCATTTTTTTCCCTTCAACCATGAAATTAAAGCCCCTCAAACAAATACTTTTTTCTCTATCTATTAAAATTTGATCCCTCAAAAATAAGTGATTTTACAGTATAGTTACACGATGAATGACATCTATGGCTCACTTTTTGAGTAACCTAGATAACTAGAAACTAAAAAATTGTAAAACTTTGAGAGGATTTTCCCTGTTCATTCAGTCGAGATTTGAAGTGTAACAAATAAGTTAACCACACCTTCTGAGGCCTCTCCATAAGCAAAAAACATGTAGTAATCATTGTTCAAGTCAAAGATTTGTTTTTCATCTGGAAGCTGCTTCTTCCTGGAGAACTGGCAGATCATCACCCCATCGATATAACTTCCTGAAACGTCACTCAATCCCAAACCACTCTGCAAATAAATCAATTAATCAACACATGAAGTGAAAACTTTGGGTACGTGGCGTAATTTTTTTGAATTCTGAATTTCTGTAAAATTTAGGAATGAATATGAAACATGAAGGTTTGATGGATAACTACCTGTTTTAATCTTGTGTTTGATTTGGTGACATCATTAAATGACTGGTGAACCAGAATAAAGCCCTCCTGTCTAATGCACTCTGTCACACTGTCATCACCCTGTAACAGAATAATGACTATATGTATTTATTCCTTCTTTTTTAGAGGGTGGAGATGGAGGGTTGGGATTTGCTTAAAGAGCTCTTTTTTATGCAAACATGGTGAAGTTTCTAGGATACTGATTTTTATGTCAAATATCATCAGAAATTATATATTTGCATCAAGATAATCATGTCTGATAAGGTTTGAATATAAATACTGTTATACATCATGATAAGATAAATCATCTCAAACATAAAACTAAATTTAATTAAATTCTTTTTCTCCAATAAGCATGCACAACCATGCATTACTAATTATGCAATTATTTGCATTTCAAGGACAGTGAATGAAGGTATTTTTAATATTTTATATAAGAAGTACTTCCCTTGATTCAATATATATAATTCAATATTTGCTATATCATTAAATTTTTCTTTTGATAATTACATACATGTGATATGTACAGGCTGTACACAAAATGTACAGTTTTTTGAGCCCATTCATCGTGTACCGGCGGGACACCAAAATTCACGGAATATGAAAATCTGATAATTGTGTAGTGTACACAAACCATCGCGTGCGAAGGTGTGAACTGCCAATTGGGATAATTATCTTGCTATAAATCTGTATCAAATACCCCTTTAGGTAGCTTTATTTTTTAAGGGGTACTTAATTACTGTTAAAATGTTTCGTATACGTAACTTGATTGAAAAAAATTAAGCCAACTTCTAAAGTTGATATACATGACTTTAGTCTTAATATACGTGAATCTGACCCAGATCTTCGTAGGTATAAAATATACGATGTTTATTACAATGATTACGATGGAATTTCATCAGAATTTAAGCGATATTTTATACCATTTTTTGGTACTGTTTTTTTATAGGCAGTGTACAGTTTTTTCACCCAAATTCCAGTTTTTTTATGGCTCCTGTACAGTTTTGTGGTCATTGACTTATCACATGTATGTAATTAAATATTTTAATATGCAGTATGAACATGACAGAGAATTGCTTAACATGCAAGTACCCTGAAGTAAAGATACCATCACCAATGATAAATTCATGACCTCAGGGTAAAAATAAGTGTGTAACTACATACTAATTCAATATGCAACAGGAAGAGAGAAATTTCAATGGACCAGACCAGGGTTTAAACACTAGGATTCCTGAAATTTAGACTGGTGCTTTTTTCCACCTGAGCTACCCTGGGCTTAATTGACAAATGAACTTGCCCGACCACCACAAAGACATTCTATTTCTAAAAACCCATGTTATTGTTTAAGTACTCAACATTTTACCTTGGAAGGGAAAATAACATTATTTGAACAAATTTAAAATCTTCTACCTTCATAAGGACAATTTATGCCAAATTTGGTTGAAACTTGCCCTATGATTATGGAAGTCAGGTAACAGACAAATAACAGAGGGGGACACTGACAAACTTCAAGCAGAAAAACTAAATTTGGGCTTTTGGGGCAAAAAATCCACCAAAAACATTAGTGCAATATAATTTTTATTTTAAACTAGAATTTGTACTTGCAGTGTAATAGAGTGCTGTAATATGAATGTTAAATTATGCTTGATCTAGACAAAGATGGCTGGTATATGACAGCTACTAATTTCTACCTGACAAAAATGGGACTATTATTACATCATGTCAATATATCAGCAGTCACCTGAATGTCCAAATAACTGTTTTGATCATTAGTTATAGTATACATGTATTGAATAGATTTGTAAAATAACCTCCAGTAATAAGCTTTTCCATCAATATCATGTATGTCTAAAATTATTTATTTTCTAATTGGTTTAGATCTCATCATATGTACCATTAGTTTCTCAACAAATCAATTTCAGAAATTTGAGAGCTAGTCCATATATCTTTCTGTTAGATTGAGAGAAAACAGTTTTGAGTTTTTGAATTTTTTATATATAAATTATTAATTTCGCTCATATTTACAAAAACAGTATAATTGTTCGATGATATAGAGAAATTTGAATGGTTTATGTAATTGCATTTGATCTTGATATACATGGTAACTACAATATGAAGCATAAAACTATCAACACATACATGCAAATAACCTTCCTCCTTTGACTTTCCATCATGCACCCTCACCTCCTTTTAATTACCATGTCACCATCTCCTTCATGCATACACCATCAGTTGTATGGCTAAGACAATGACACACACCATTCACCATTTTCTTTTCAGTTACCATTCTTTTATCCTCAGAGAAGCCCACTGCAATCCAGTGGTCATTTGGGTCCATTGTAGAGAATTTCTTCCTCATCTCAAACTGTACATGTTCCCCAGTGTCATTCCATGTAATGATGAAGTCACACTGCCCCCCACTGCACTTGGCAAAACAGCCCTTGGTTTTCCCACACCCAAAGTCTGCTTGGAGGGTTTCATTCTGCAACACACAGAACAATTAAGGTACTTGCAATTATTAAAGATAATTTTCTTATCCAAAAATACTGTATACTGACATTTTTTGGGACCATTTATTTTTGGAATCATTAGCAATGGTTTTGTCAATGCAATGCAAAAGATAAATATTGCAATCACAAGTATTGCCAGAGAAAAATAATCAGTTATTCCTAAAATTGTAAAAAATTAATTATGCTAATAATAAATGCATATTGGTAGGAAAAAAATCACTAAATTTGCAGGATGCTAAAATAAACTGTTGAACAGTACAATATATGTACCATGCTCACAGATACAGTTTATTATAAACTATAACATTAAACAGTTTATAAATGTGCTATTCTGCCTAAAACCTACTAAAAAAAGATCATCTTTCAACAACAAAAACAATTAATATGAGGTTTTTGAATGAAAACCTTGGCTAGGCCTTTCAAAATCTGCTGGTACCCAGCAAAATTATGATTGTACCAGCCAAAATATGTAATGGAGAAAAATTCAATTACTTTTTTAATTAAAACCCCTTCCACAAGGTACCTCCCATTTTTGTAAAAGTCTAATCTTTCTGAAAGCCCAGAAACCTATAGATATCAATAAGTGCCATAGATTTTTTTAAAATATCATGGGATCACCTCTTAGAAAGATCAGTTAGATACTCACGTGAGAATGGGTGTGCTTGTCATGATCATGAATGGTTGTGGTTCTGATAGTGGTGGATGGGGCCTTGGTTGTGAAAGGTCTCAATGTTGTAGGTGGTTGCCATGGTGTGGTGGGCCTTTGAGTCACTTTACTGGTTGTTGTGGTAGGTCTATGAGTGGTAGTGGTGGTGGTAGTGGGTGCCACTGTGGTTGTGGTTGTAGATGAAGTGGTGCTAGTGCTGGAGGTAGTGGTAGTTGGCATATTAACTAAATATGCCTGGAAATTGATAATATTCTCTGATGTTGGTGGTGCTGGGTCATACATATGGGGAAGCTTCAATCCTAGGACAGATATCAAATTTATTTTCTTTATGCTAGTTGTTTTATCTGTTAATTTTCAACAATTACAGTAAACACTATGAAACACAATGGATACAATGACAATTTCAGCCAGTAAAAGAGAAAAAAAATGCAATCACAAATTATTAACATGCATAAAAACATTCCAGCTGTTCCTGAAAATACATATCATGTACATAATTGGTCAAATCAGGAGTTGTCAAATTTTTGCTATTAATTTGTGATTTGATCATAATGGAAGAAAAAAATCTAAGCCTTATAAAATCAAAATTATTTATAGCTTCTTTTTGTATTACAGCTAATTACCTGGCATCTCAAAATTAATGCTTGTATGTATACCCATATGTGATCAAACTCCAAATATTTAAAATTGCAAAAAATCCTATGCCAAGTCAAAAGATAGAAAATATCATACCCTGTCCTCCTCTAAAAGGATCTATAATATATTAGACAGAAATTAAATATAAATTCTGCTTTTTTAAGTACACATACAGTACATTTTTTCTTGCAAAAATGTACTGTATGTGTACTTAAAAAAGCGGGCTTCATATTTTAGCAGCTTTGGCGCAAACAACAATGTGCTAATTCATGAATACCGTTAAAAAATCATTTATAAATACAAAATATGACGCGGACATATGAAGCGCTAATTCATGATTATGCCAACTACTCAATACCCAGTGATTGTGCTAAATTTTGAATAAGTCAATTTATGTACACGTACAGTATTTATGAATCATTCTGAGAGTTTACCTTCAATTGCTGTTCCATGAGCAAATAAGATGTGCCAAGGTTTGTTGAGGTTAAACAGTCGGCTCTCGGTTGGAACCAGTTTTTCCCTGGTGAATCCACATGTAAAAATGCCATCCACAAAAGAACCATACTCTTGGCTAAGTCCAAGTTTGGGCTGAAGAAAAATTGTCAAAATGAGGTTATTAATGATAATTATAATGTCATGAACATCAGAGCTAAAAGCAGTTAATGTTTTCCAAAGTATGAATTCTGAACACTTATATAGAAAACATCTTTCATGTTTAAGAAAAACTGGGGTAAACTTTATCTCACATCTCTTAGCCTTGAGTTGCTGTGAGTATCCGAGTTGTATGACTGGAAAGCACTGATTCGTCCACCTACAGACATACACTCGGTTACACTGTCACTGCCCTGCAAACAAGACATTACATTACATTTATATCAAGTCTTAACTTGTACACATTGGTATGGTTATTTAGTATATTTTTACTTCATAATGGCACATTAAAGCCCTTAATTGTTCATTACTTTCAGATTTACAACTATAGGTTATAGACTATTACATTGTAATTGTGTTTAAGACTAGAGTATCTTAATTTGCTTTTAGATATCATCAAAGTAAATTTATTAACAACATTCTATAAAATGTTGCAACTACCATTAACATATTGATTAAGGTCTAGTTTAAGAAACCTTACCATTTTGTCATCATAAGAGAAGCCCACTGCCACCCATCTATCTCCCCCAAGGGGGATATGTGCATTAATCTCCATGTCTAAGTATCCCTCTCTGTCCCTCCAGGAGATGATAAAAGAGCACACACCCCTTCTGCAGTCATGGAAACAACCTTTGGTTTTGTTACAGTCAGGATCAGGAGGCAAATACGTACCCTGCAGTTAGAAAAAGGAAACTGAGGTATTTCATCTATAGGCAAATATTTAAGTTCTCTACAACTTCAGCAAACTTGAATAAAAAGAATTAGCATTGAAAAGCTATAATAATATTATATAGCTTAATGTTTCCAAATAGACTATCATTAAAAATATGATAAAAAATATATTATTCATGGTCTGGGGAACCGGGGTGGGGGTGGGGGCATAGGGGGGGTGCCCCCCCCCCCCCAATAATTTTTCTGATACATGTATATAGAGTACTATAGAAAACAATTAGAAACTATATGCTTGTGCCCCCTCAATTAAAATGTCTGATGACCTTTTTTTTTGTTTGTCAAGGAACTTTTGGCAGTCGATAGTGCCCCCTCCACTGAAAATGTATGGCTGTGCCCCCCCCCCCCCCAACTAAAATTGCTTCCTCCTGGCCTGTTATTCTAGATAAACATCTACTACAAATTATTATATGTGCTCCAATGTTTATTTAATAGGCTTTTTTCTCTCATACAATTGTCACTTCTACCAAGCTGAAATCAAATGCAATATGCTCAAATAAACTCCCTGTCAATGAATGAGGAAATATATGTTGCCAAAACTTCCAGTCAGAAGATAAGATGAATATGGCCATTGTCGGACTTCCCTAACAAGATCACCTGACATAAGTCCAACCTTTAGCTGGCTGTATAATAGCCAAGAATGACATTTTTATCACCTTGGCTATATAAAATTGCACTTATAAATGTAAACCACACATTGCATTAAATGTCTACAGATGGAGCTCACAGTGGCCCTTATATAGTGTTGAAAGAATGCATCTGTTTTCACAAATATTTAAAAGCTATATATGAATATAGTCACAGCTAGCTGTCCAGATAAAGATGATTCTAAATGAAAAAGTAAACTACTGAAGTAATTAAAATTTCCAGTCTCATATTTAAATTTTATTACTGATAAGATCAGTTTTATTGGCAAACTACTAAAATTAAAGTTTTATTAAAATGTATTTTAACAGCTACATGTAGGATACCATTTATAATACATACAGTAAAATGTATATCAAAAGAAATAAGTAAAGACACTACAAACTAGGCTTTATTGACACACCTGGGAAGAATTCACCTACGCAAATGATCAAAAATTGATTGATTCATCATTCTGCAAGCAGGTAAACAAATGGTTGACCAAAATGGCCCCAATTATACCTTGCATGCAATAATTTCTGTATAATTATTCATTAACTGAGCATTGATAATTGTGATCTACTTCTGACCATTTGTTCATCAAAGAAAGACTAATATCATTATTATCTACAGTAAATTTATCCTACACAATTTAAGATCACATCACTCTTCAACTTCAAGTATAGTACAGTTTCATTTATCATGATGGTGCTAGTGGTAAATGAAAAATGTATGAATTAATTTCTTTAAAAGAAAGAAAATGAAAATTGTGAACAAATGTGACAAATTACCTGAGGAGGTGTAAAGGGCTTCATTGTTGATTGTGATGTCGTTGGTTGAGGTGTGGTTGTTGTTGGTTTGGGTGTTGTTGTTGTTGGTTTAGGTGTAGTTGTAGTTGGTTTAGGTGTGGTTGTTGTTGGTTTAGGTGTGGTTGTAGTTGGTTTGGGTGTGGTTGTAGTTGGTTTAGGTGTGGTTGTCGTTGGTTTAGGTGTGGTTGTTGTTGGTTTGGGTGTGGTTGTAGTCGGTTTGGTTGTGGTTGTAGTCGGTTTAGGTGTTGTTGGTTTAGGTGTCGTAGTTGTTGGACGCTGTGTTGTTGGTTGCGGCGTCGAAGTCCGTGGTGGTGGTGAGGGTGGCTGCACAGGTTCGTTACAGACAGGTGAGATGTTATTTGTTAGACTGAGTACCTGGCTCTGTGCCAGTCTCACTGAACTATAAGCATCATACACAATCGGAGAATTGACAGCAACCCAAAAAGTTGTATATTCTTGCAAAATGGTAGCCCTGAAAAGAGAAGTGCATGACCACTTGTGATGATTAGAACATTCAAAGCAACACACATACTGCTTGCAGCTTCATCTTTAAATTTTTTTTTAATTGAGTCACTATTGGATTAAATCAAGCAATGATCTTTATATAAATATTGAATGTTTTTATTAATTTTTTTTTTTAAAAATCATAAAAATTGTATTTATATTCTTTGAGAGTAAGTGAACTCAGTGCAGAAAATGTGCAAGGTATTAGTCCTGAAACATTTAAGTTTATTCAATATGATTGAACCATTCAAATCTCTGAACATTCAAAAAATCATAAAAAGTTAATTTATGTTCACCTGCGTCCAACCATCATCGCAAGCCACGGGTTTTGTGTCCATTCTATTTTCCATTTTGTGGAAATAGAATGGACACAAAACCGTGGCTTGCGACGATGGTGTCCAACCTTCCAGGTGAAAAAAAAAAAACAATTAAAATTCCTACATTGGACCAAAAATAGATTACAAACTTCCAAACTGCTGATTGGTTATTTTTATTTTTGTCCTCCAATGAAATTTAGCATCTCTTATTGCATTTCTAAATTTATTTAGGACTTCAACAGAAAATCAAGACAGATGACTGCTGAACGAGTCTGTATCAATTAATATGGTTACTTTTTTTGCTCAATATGATGAGGTTCCCCAGAAGTTCAGTATATTCACCTCATCCTTTGGGCTTGGTGAATTTTGTACTTCTTGGGTAGCTAAACCATTGCATTGCCTCAAAAACCAGCAAAATTATATAATAATTGTTTAATAATCATTCTTTAGTGTACTATGTACACATTTATCAGTTCTGATTAATCTGCTGCTAAAGACATTTTCTAAAAAAACAAGATGTGTTTGTGAAACACTGATGCCCCCGTATGGCAGCTTATGGCGAAAGTTAAAGTTTCTTCAAATGCAAGTCAAAATCCAGGCCAAAAGATAAAAAATGTTGATACCCAAAGAAAGGTCTTGTCTCAAGGAATACACCTGTGAAATTTGAAAGACCTAGATACAACTGTTCAAAAGTTATGGCCAAGGTTAAAGTTTTTTAAATAAAAATCAAACGTCAAGGTCAAGGTCAAAGTGGTTGGTATCGAAAGGAAGATCTTGTCACAAGGATTACATATGTGAAGTATGAAAGCCCTAGCACCAACCATTCAAAAGTTATGGCCAAGGTTAAAGTTTTTCAAAAGTAGGTCAAACTCCTAGGTCAAGGTCAAAAGGTCAAAGTGGTGGTTGGTATCCAAAGGAAGGTCTTGTCGCAAGGATTACATATGTGAAGTATGAAAGCCCTAGCTCCAACCATTCAAAAGTTATGGCCAAGGTTAAAGTTTTTCAAATGTAGGTCAAACTCCTAGGTCAAGGTCAAGGGGTCAAAGTGGTTGATATTCAGAGGAAGGTCTTGTCACAAGGAATACACATGTGAAGTTTGAAACCCTAAGCACCAGCTGTTCAAAAGTTATGACCAAGGTTAAAGTTTTTCAAAAGTAGGTCAAGGTCAAAGGGTCAAAGTGGTTGGTATCCAAAGGAAGGTCTTGTCACAAGGATTACATATGTGAATTATGAAAGCCCTAGCATCAACCATTCAAAAGTTATGGCCAAGGTTAAAGTTTTTCAAAAGTAGGTCAAATTCCTAGGTCAAGGTCAAAAGGTCAAAGTGGTGGTTGGTATCCAAAGGAAGTTCTTGTCGCAAGGATTAAATATGTGAAGTATGAAAGCCCTAGCTTCAATCATTCAAAAGTTATGGCCAAGGTTAAAGTTTTTCAAAAGTAGGTCAAACTCCTAGGTCAAGGTCAAAGGGTCAAAGTGATATCCAGGAGAAGGTCTTGTCACAAGGAATACACATGTGAAGTTTGAAACCCTAAGCACCAGCTGTTCAAAAGTTATGGCCAAGGTTAAAGTTTTTCAAAAGTAGGTCAAACTCCAAGGTCAAGGTCAAAAGGTCAAAGTTGTTGGTATGCAAAGGAAGGCTTTGTCACAAAGAATACACATGTGAAGTTTGAAACCCCAACCACCCACTGTTCAGAAGTTATGGCCAAGGTTAAAGTCTCATAAAATTTTGCAAAAGTGGGTCAAACTCAAAGGTCAAGGTCATAAGGTCAAATATGATGGTACCCAAAGAAAGGTCTTGTCACAGGGAATACACATGTGAAATATGAAAGCCATAACTCCAACCAATCAAAAGTTATGGGCAAGGTTAAAGTTGACAACAGACAGACAGACAAACAGACAAACGGACAAACAAACAGACAAACAGACAGACAGGACAAAAACAATATACCCCCGGGATCTTTCGATCCGGGGGCATAAAAAAGTATAGACTTTAACTATGATTTTGACCCAAAAGACCTAAGAAGGCTTTATATCTTTCTTATAATGAGATATTATCATCTGATCAAGCTCTGGGTTTCTGTGCTCCTTTCAAGTACGCAAGGTACAAATGGATGGAAAAATGATTTTTACATGTCATTGCCATGCACTGATGACAACAAAATCATGAACAGATGATTAGACACAACACATGGACAACACAAAATGATACTTATAGGTTGGCAATAATCTGTAGGCAACACAAGAATATGTTCAACAGAGACTTTTATTTTACTGAAAACAGTGCATGTTCTTTTTTTTCTCAGGAAATCCTCACCTAAATACAACATGACCTTGTGGGACTCTAGGAGCTTGCCAGACAACTCTTATCTTTGTCTTCTCTTCACTTGATGTATGTGTTAAAGCCTGTCCTCTTATTCCCTAAAATACAAAATATACAGTTAAAGTAGTATCACTGAGGGAGTTAGCAAGATTCCAGTTCCTCAAGAGCAAGCCTATTTCCCGAGGCAAAACCAAGGGGAAGAGGCCTCCACTTGGGGAACTGGAATCTTGCTGACTCCCTCAATGATATACTTTATTTGTTTTATTGGATAATTACTTGTAGAATTATGACTTATCCAAGAGAATGAAATATTTTGTAGGTTGGGTTAATTTCCTCTCAAAAAGAATTTCAGCTGTACCTAATAGAACTACTGTCAGAGTAAGAATCATTTTCCTAGTCATTTTCAAATAAAATCATGAGAGTTTAAACACTGTAATTTAAAAAATAAACTAAACTAAATAACAAGTAAGGTTGTTTGGGTAATCAGCACTCATGCATCTATTTTATCAAACAAAATTTTGCTTTATTGATTTTCCATTTTAATTGAAATGCAAAAAAGCATACTTTGCAAAATTTGACAAATTGAAATCCTTAATTCAATGAGAGTTATCTCTCTTAGCAGGGAGTCAATGATCCTTAAGACCTATGGACAACAAAGCTCGAATGTATAGATATATTAAAATCATTAAAACACATATGCATATATAAATGTAGTCATACCAAAGAGACATAAGATTTACGGATTCAACAATTTTATTCTATTCCACATTACCTTTTCAATTTTACAGAATTCAGTTTGTTGTTCTATATAATTATTTTTATTTTACAAAAATGGATTCTTTAATGTGGCTCTACCCAAGCACGAAGGCATTGTTTTAAACAAACTGGAATTTATTTGATTAGTAAATATCACTTGACTTATTTAAGATAAAAAAAAATCTTGTCTAGTACGTACATTACGACTATCAGGACACGTGTACTGATAGGGAGCATTGTTGTACATGCCAAACACTCCGATCTTTACGTCCTGAGTAGAAAATTGCGCCAATCTTGGCTGAATTAAAAATCCTTTAAAAGAATATCCTTTGCAAGCCTGAATTGTCACTGAAAAATTAAAAAAAAAAATACAATTATATTGTTATAGTAGTCTACATTTTTCACATTGAAAATTGTACATGAAATAATATTAATATTTTCATGGTATAACATGTTTTACATTGTATATATTGTCTTTTATCTGTAATCATTTTAATCAACTGTTTGTCTGTTTTGGACTCTTGATTTTGTTTTCTTTTTATGCAATCAAAATCCTCGCATTCGAGTGGAAATTTTTTTTGTTTTTTTGTTTTGTGTGTGTTTTTTTTTTTTTTTTTTTTTTTTTTTTTTTGCAACAAGCTAAGTATAACTTACCTACAACTTGCTCCAGAGGACGATATGACGTTTTGGACACGGTGATTACGTAAGGGACTGGGATTGTTTGTGGCTGGTTAGCACTGTGCCAGGGTGTGAGGGAGGAACATGCCTGAGCCCCCGCGCCCTGACTGTAAGCACTGACTGATGACGCCCAATAAGACACAAGTATATTTAACACGCAGATAAAAGACAATCTGCATCTCCAGTGTGTCATTCTTCATATGTCAATGTACAGTTATCAGAGGTTACTGGGAAGTCTGCAACAAAATTTATTCGATTTCTCACTACCAAACGTTTCTACAGTGCAAAAGCCTAATGAGCTTATTACGTAGGAGGAAATATATTTCAACAAGATATAATACGACATTTTAAAAAAAAAATATTGCATGATACTTTGCACTTGAGAAGATGGAGGGTACGATCACCATTCGTCGAAATTTGGAATCAAAAAACAAAATAAGGTATATTGATATACATGTAGTCTATGTTTGTTCGAAGTTTTACTGAAACTCATAACTAGATAATGTTGGACATCCTTTCCACCGCACTCCCACCCCAAAACCCTCACCAGTTGCAACTTGGTTTCGAAAAAAAGTGTGCATTATCCAAAATCAACTTCTGTCTTTACAGATTGATGTAAACCCCCCCCCCCCCCATCTGATTAGTCTTCTTGATAACACATGCATTATACATTTCACGATATTGAGTTGAATTATCACATGTATAAATAGCAAAAAGAAAATTCCAAAGATGTGGTTATAATCTTAAAAACTTCAAGTTCTAATACGAAAGTGTACGCTCTCTCATAAAAAAAAATAATATAACAAATGTAGTCATAGATTCGGTCAATTTATAAATAAATGAATTTCACAGAAAACCATATATATTGACTCCGTACTTCGTGCTCAGTTGATATGCTTTCTGTGAAGTCGATATATCTATGGACTGACCTCGTGAAAAGGCTATACATGTATGTGTATGATATACATGTACGCCATGACATCCTCAGCATTGAAAGAGAGGGGGGAGAGAGGAGCTTGTTTTAAATCCAAATCAGATTGTGCACATTACATCCTCTGTAGACGAATGAAAAACATACGTCTCGGTGAATAAAAATGCATCTTCTGAATTACTAATATTCTTCAGCGGCCGACTCAAAAAATTTTGACAAGCAAAAAAGTAAGAAATAGATCAATAAAAAAATAATAAAAAAACAAACGAACAACAACAAAACAATGTCCCAAACTTGCTCTCCTACATATACTTGTAAAGAGATTTCAGTGTATCTCCAGGAAAGGTTGGGGGTTCCAATAATCTTTTTTTGGGTTACTGTGTAAAATAACTCTGACAAATCCGGGGCGGGGGGGGGGGGGGTCCGGACCCCCAGTGACTGCTGGGTCCGCTACTGATATACATGTAAGTGGTTTCACTTACCTTTGTATAAATCTGATAGATATCCAGTGATACAAAAGGAATTATTAATTATTTTAAATTCACGTCACAAAAGGATAAATGTAATTTGGAAACAAGCACTAGCCTCTTGCTCCAGACTAAGTCAGGATTAAAAATAAGGTGTAAGAAATAAAACAAATATCATGTGTGATAAATCGCATTATTGCACTGATACTTCCGAATGTTCGATGACCCATCAATTGATTGGTGTGTTGATGGCATGTTGTAGGAGTAGCCCCACTATACTGACGACAATTGTATAATTTTACACCTGTATTGTGTGTTACCTCGCTAGCACAACCTATCCTCATTTGGGGGGAAAATGTATGAATAAAATAAATTTTGATTAAAGTTTAAATAAAATGATATACATTTAAAGTTTCAGGTACCTATTATTTGTTCTTTATTTTTTAAATCTCATTTCAGTTCACTGCGGAACATCATGTATTTTACTAAATCTTCATGAAAACATGATTTTGTTTTTAATGAAACTTTTTAATATTTCGAATTCGATATAAAGACAATCTTACCTTTATATAGATAATAAATCCAAACTTATTAGTCAAAGACTGATGTCTTATAGGAGTCACCGCTCCTCCAAAAAAATATCCCTCTGATAAAAATATCCGTACAATTTTCACCGACCAAAAATTTATTTTCTTAAATCCAGAGAAATGCCACTACAAATCCATTTTTTGCTATTGAAAAGTGATAACCGTCTCGAGTTTCACACCCAGTGAAGGAAGCGCTGATTGACGGACAAACGTGATTGATGTATGGCCCCGGGGGTGCTCGTCACCGGGAGTCAGCGACTTATACAAGTGTTTCTGCTTGTACCTAGTCACTGTACCACTAATCCACATTACGGCTTCCTTTTAACTGTACACTAACGTGTTGAACTCACATTTATGCATCTTATGACGACTTTCAAATGTCTAATATGCTATATTTCTTTGTATTTTAGAAATTGTCTGTCTTGTATAATTTCATAATATCTAATAAAATTTTCATTATTCTAAACAATAAAGGTACAGGTATGATATTGTAAAATATAAAATAGAGTACAAATTTTGGACCATTTTGAAACTTAATCGTTACAATATATATAATTTTCTTCCTCCTGCATGTTTAGTATACAATTCTTAGTTAAGGGTCAAATAATGAAGATCAATATCAAGAATGTGAACCACAAATTTTGAGCGACATAATATTGAAAGTGGAAAAAGTAATTTCTGTTTTCCTGAATTATATTTTTGTGGAAAGGGGCCGGGGTGTGGTAAAATCGTCTGATTGTTAATTCCAAGTGCATGCTCCATATATCTCAGAATATGGATTGAAATGTCTTCCCATAATCAAAATTATTGCTTTAGTTCTTAAAAGTCCTCGAACCGATTTATGTTTCATCGTTTGTGAGGATGGTTTATAGTCAAATGTAGACATTAAAATACATGTAAATGATGTTTCAAACAAATATTTCCAAAAAGCGTAATTATTTAAGAATATTAAAAAAAATATTTGATTAGAAAAAGAATTTACACGATGACATGTAAAGTGATTACATGGTCGACAGTGCAGTCCTATAGAATCACTTTGTTATATTTTTTTCCCGGATGTCTCTCTCTCTCTCTCTCTCTTTCTCTCTCTCAGTATCCGAGGAGTTATCTCCCTCACCAAATATTGTTTACAAATGGCTGATTGTTGCTAAATAGAACCGACCTAGGCAGTGGAATAATATACCCTCGTAACACAAGTAAGAACACATGTATTAACGAAAACAATGGGTGTTGCATTACAATCTAGATTGTTGCCAACTTTCAGTTGACATATTTGCGTGCCAAGATTAACGATTTTTTAGATTCGTGTAGTGATCGAGCAGGTGCGCAAGTTACCTGAACAGTGATTTTTTAAAGCGATAATCAGCGTTAATTCTTAATACTACATGTACTTATTAATTTTAATCCTTAATGATCAACTTCAGATCGAAACATTCAGTTAACTGATTACTAGTCATACTGACTTTGGCATGTTTGGAGACATGTGAATCATTCTCGATCCCCTTGTTGACATTCCGTCAGTGACCCGAGTGAGGGTCATTCGTTTCAAAAATTACAGCACTAGTCATTGAAATGGGGTTATTGCATTATCGAAAATTTTGAAAACGGGTCGGCTTTCATTACCGAGAAATATTTCTTTTATTTCCGAAAAAATGTAGATCATTACAGAAAATTCAAATTGTTCTGTCTTTAATATTTATTTATATTTTAAACATCTGTAGCCCTTTTCACAAAAAATCTTACAACTAAGATTAAAAATTTCCAATTCTTCTATATGCACCTAAATTGTAGTAGGTAACAAAAAAATCTTATATTTCTATTACATTACAGCATATTGTGAATTATTTTTCTGAAATAACAATTTCCTTTAAAAAACATTAAAACAAAGAAATTACAGAGTTGGCAAATTTTAATTTTAGTCGTAAGAATTTTTGTGAAAAAGGACTGTGATGTCTACGTTTTTCAGTTTTCGTTTGATGTCGTATACCATGGCGTATGATCTGATCCGCCCCGCCGTTACCCTGTACAGAGAAACAGATCCTAAAATCGACATGATGGCTCCAGTCACTACCATGAATAGGATTGCACAGGTTACCAATAAAATATTTCATATTTTAAAAATGTATGGAGTAAAGGGAGATGTACGTGCTTTAAAATATTTTAAAAAACAATTAAAATGAAATAAATCACCAAAAAAAGATGAGTAAAAAAAAAAAAGACGAAGGAAAAAATCAAACAAAAAAAAAGGGGGGGGGGGGAGATGAAGCAAGTAAACCAGATGCATTCTGCGCACTTTGAATAACACATTAAAGCTATCTGCATATCATTTAATATCAATTGATTTTAATAAAGAATTTATTTGATAACAACATCTTTTAACCCGTCGCACGAGAACGTACTTGTAATTAAATTATGATGTTTCCATGCTTTTAATATTTAGTGTCATTGTTAACACACACACACACATTTTTATCTTACCTTTAAAATACACCAAAGACTTGAAAGGGTCACTTTTTATAACAGATTGTGTATTTGTTTTGATAAAAAGTCACTGATTAACTTCTCCCCAAATGAATTCCAAAATCATATTGATTACAAAACAACTGTCAGGACTTCATGTCAACTGGAAACGAGGAAATCATATCAAAGAAGACCATTGCTAACTGAATGTTGCATTGTCACCAGTATGTTTTGCCTTGTTTGAACAGTTGTAACAGTCAGAGTTTTCTTGTAGCTTTCGTGTTTGCACTGGAATCGCATTCCTCACGAACTTTATCTTCCACCAAAAGCAGCGCACTAAATCCCTTTTTTATACACCACACATGTTTGAGTAATTTTTTTTTTTTTTTTTACAAAATCGGGGAAATAATATTAATTAAGCCATTAGTCAAGAGATATATTATTACATTGAAACGAATTACATTCGTAGGAGATCGTACTTCCAAGAAACTAAATTTTAACTAAAAAAAAAAAGACTTTAAATTAAAAAAAACTGTTTTCGAGTGAAATACTATTAACTGAGTGAGTCATCATTAATTTATCTAAATCTCAGACTTACTTAACTTGTCTAAATCTGAAACAAAGATGGTTGTGCTAGTTAGTAGTAAAGAAAATAATAAACAAATGTTTTAATATATCTTTAAGGTTGCTTGTGAGAGAATAATACTGATGATGAATAACACAGGACTTGTGAAAGAAAGACGGCTCTCTAGCATGGACCAAGTACTCACGTACTTAACCGGAAGACACGAAGATGTTGGACTTTCTGGAGATCGCGGCGACCTTTACCGGAGGAAGTTGGCGGAGCAGATATTTTTGGCTTTTGCTGTTGATGGTGTAGATCACAACAACGTCGTGTTGATCGTAGAAGCTGCAATTAAGTTAGAGCGAGAAACACGAAGAATATTAATGAACAGTGCGGAAACACGTTACTCAGCCCCTGGTGTTAGCATTGACGAACAAGTTCTGAATGTGTTGGCACGCATTGCTGAAATTTTCTAGACTTTTATTTTGAACTTGTGTCTGTGTTCTCAGCCTAAATTAAAATCTACGCAAACAATTAAATTTTTTAATTTAAAACATTTGAAACAATTGAGTTATATGTAATGTAAAATTTTGAGTGTTATTTTAAATCAAGAATAGCATGCAGTAAACAAACATTCTTTATGTATCTTATGCTTTGAGGAGATGCCCCCCCCCCCGCACCGTATATTTCACACTTTTTTTTATCGATCTGCATTTTTTGTTTGTTTGATATTATTTACTAATTTTTAGGTAATATTTGTGAACTGAATATACCAAAATTACACTGACATGTTCACTGAAATAAGGGACCAGGCAAGACCAATAAAAAAATCAACCTTAAAAGTCAAAAGGGAAAGAAACAATGATTTCCCTTTTTATGCTACCAAACTCGACATCTGGGTATGCTGCGAAAGTGCACTGGGTATATATAGCCAATCCTGACGTCAGCCAGAAAACATGTGTACAAACAATATTTTTATGTCGTGTTATTGGACAATATGCAAGGTGATTGTTTTCTCATTTTTTTCCCTTCAACTTATTGCAGACGTATTCTAGCTGTACCTTCGATTCGAAGGTAGAAACTTGTATTTTATTTGCATTCAATCATATCCCTTACCCCCCCCCCCCCTTTTGCAGCACTATAGAGCCAGGGACCTATAAACTAACTATATAGGTCCCTGATAGAGCTATCGACTACAGGCCCGTAGGAAGCAATTTCAGTTGGGGGGGGGGGGGCACAACCAAACATTTTTCAGTTGACAGTTGATCGAGGGCACTACCAAAAATTTCCTGACAAGCAAAAGAAAAAATAAATAAATAAAAAAAGATCATCAAACGTTTTTATTGAGGGGACACGGGCATATAGTATCTACGTTTACTACAGTAATCTATATATCGGCAAAATTATTGGGGGGCGGGGGCACCCCCCCCCCCCCGGGTTCCTACGGCCATGGACTTAGCAAGAAATAGAACTGATCGAGAAACCCCCGGCGCTAGCTTACTATCTTTTTGAAAAGATATGCTTGTATATGGCTTGGCAGTTTTGTCAAACAGATTCACAACTATACGAAACACATTTTTGGTACAAATTGCTGAGGAGTCTGATTGGAACTCTTCTGTACTGAAGAATAAAAGCGTCATAACATGTGCGCGGGAAAAATGGTGCCCGGGGAAATGTCAATATGAAAACCGTTATTTTATGACCTTGTTTCATTGTACCAAAAGGTAAGAGTGTTAAAATATAAATTTCAGTTAAAAAGCAACACCTGGTTAATGTTAAATTCAACACAGTGGTATAGTTTTTGAAAATGAATGGCCATTCAGAAATCACCACAATGGCACATCGAGTTTTTCTGCACAAACACATGTAAAAACAGGCCTCAATGGCGGATCCAGAAGTTCGGGGGAGGGCAGGGTGAGGCCCATAGGGCTGAAGGGAAGGATATTGAAGGGGTTCCCTTCCATTAGGGGGTTCGGGGAGTCTCCCCGAGAATTTTTTTGTAATAAATGGCTCCAAATGGTGCATTTTCCAGCATTTTAGACAGGTTGGGACCACTCGCCCAAATGGGATATCAATATAATAGCCCTTTTGGGATATAATATCCCAGATGGGATATAAATTTACAGTGCTAAAAATAAAAAAAAAATACTTCTGGCAATAAATATCAGAAATCCGCATCAAAATCATTAGATAGGAATAACTTGGCAAGCAAGTTTTTCTGAAACCCTACAGTTTGTTAGATTGATCCCCAATAAGTTAATGAACTTCTGAGGGATCAATCTCCTAAACAGTGGGCATAAAGAAAAACTTGTTAACTAAAAGTTATTCCTTTAATATTTATAACTATCTTGATGCGGATTTATGATTTTTGTAGCCAAAATAAAAAAATTCATTTTTTGCACTGTAAATTTTTATCCCAACATTGGGATATTATATCCTCAACGGGCTATAATATCTCATTTGGGTGAGTGGTCCCAACCTGTTAGATTGTTAGATTGAATCTTTTGGTATTTTTTTCTTTCTACTGTACATGCTTATAAGTTTTTACCACAATTCATTTTATAGTCTGTACAAGTGTAATCGTTCACTAGGTTTTATTAAACATAATTCGAAAGTAATTATTTTTTTTGATATTTGCAAATCTTTTGCTTTTAAAAAGTTTATTTGTACATTTTCTGACTTTTTCACAAAGAGCGCACTAAGAAGTATAACTCTTCCATAGTGGAAATAGAACGTATTGGGAAAAATAGCGTTGAAATAGAACAAAGGGGAATTTTCTGTCAAGTTAACAAATGAAATAATCAGAGTTTCCGAAAACCAAATATTTCTATCAGTCATTCGGACTGATAACATTATGTGTTCTACCAGTCCGAATAAATTTTAATATATTTCATGATGTAATTAAAAAAAAAAAAATGGCATTGGTTTATAGTACTCAAATTGAGTGTTTAAATCTTTCCAAGAATCATTACAACACCGATTGTGAGACCACAGGTATGCAATTGAAAAGATTCAAACACTAGCCCACGGGTTAGTGGCAGCAATAAAGTCACTTCCCCCAAGTAAAAAGTTGCTAGCTGAAATGTTTGGGGGAGGGGGGGGGGCAACTAATATAAAAAAAGTTTATTGTTGAAAAAGTTGGGGGCTTAAGGTCACCCTTTTTTAAAATTAAAAGTTAATTCTCACTTGTATTGGAATCATGTACATGTATAAATTAATAATTATGATAGAAAATAAAAATGAATTTAGATAAACTATCTTCCCTTTTTCTGGCTATGGGCACTGCACTAGCTCATCTAAACTGGAACAAAAATCTTTTTTTCCATCTTTAATCATTAAATACATTGGAACTATATTTTATGTAAATCACATAACACTCGTCTTTCAGTTTATTGAGTGATCGTAAATAATTTAACGATATATCTGCATGTGTTTACCATAAACAGAGGAATGGAGGAAATTCGGATTTGGAAAAAACAATCGTTTTTGGAAGTAAATAACACGGTGTAGTACCTAAACATTTGCTATCAGAAAAATGTGCGTACATTACTGCTATCTCAAAATTGTTCAGTTGCTAATGGAAAAAAATGGACGAAATGGTAAGTATTTTTCTTCGCTGGCTCAATAAAATGGTCAATAATTCAATTATCAAAGTTTAGCTGCTTATTTTTTCACCTTTATGGAATGTAACATACCTTTTAAAACTAATATGTATCTCTAATTTTTTTATGAATAAAAATATTGTTGATGTATAGAACGAAAACTGTCGAAAGTCTCTGACACACTTACATGCACATAAGAAATATATTTAATTAGCGTCAAAATGTTTAGATATTTTGATAAAAATGAATCGACAGATCGGTGTATTTTTGTAAGACATATTGATTATTTCATAGAATTACCCATTTTAATCGGTTTCTTAAAAACAAAAGCATTTTCATGCGGAGAAACTTATGTACGGCTACTATTAGACAACAACACCAGTTTCTATTGGAAATGTCTTAAGTTTTCAATTTTTCTTTAATACACATCCTTAATTTACATCTATTATGCAATAGTTTAGAAAACTATATTTGAAATGTTCATTCTATATTCTTTTTAATAACTGACTTGTTTATATTACCTTGATTTCGATCCTATAACGATAAATTGGTTTATTAAATTTCTATATCTATATATGTATGATATGACTAATAATGATAGTAGTGTTTGTTAATACCCTGTAGATTTACTAAGTATCCTGCACACAGTAAAATTGTTAGTCTTTAAATTATGTGCATCTTCTATTGAATTTATTAGATTTCACCTGGGTAATTACACTAGATTCACAAATTAAGGATATCTCATGTTTTTTGTTTTATTTTTTTTTGGGGGGGGGGGGATATAAATTTTTATCCAATGAGTTGTGGTAACATAGTTTCTTTAGAATGGACTTGTTCCAAACACTTTTCAAAAATTGAAGGCCAGATCAGCAGCATCGGATCCTATGTATAAGCAAGGCAACGATAGATACACCCTCCTTACAAGTTTTGTCCAAGTGAGCGGCTCGCTCGAATAACAGACCTTATTATAGATGCTACTGTATCATACATCCAGTTCAATAAACTACTTTTCTTAAATTTAATTTTTGATGTACAAGTACAGTGTGGCCAAACACTCCTAATGGCCAAAAAATATGTACATGTATTGAAAATACGAAAGTGGAATTGCTCACAATTGCCCCCCCCCCCCTTTCTATTTCGAAAAAGACTACATATGTCTGTAAATAATTGTAATGCTCTCTCCTTTAAATGTACATAATTATATATTACTTACTGGATAGAATATTAGCCTTTTTCATGTTGGATCTCCACCTTTTTTTAAAAGGGGGGGTGGGTGGGTCCAAACCCACTCAAAAGAAACAGAGAGAGAAATATAAGAAAATTGACAAGCAAACAAGTAGAAGTCTACTCCATCTGAAAAGCCTCCTTTCGCCCCCATCCCCCCCCCGGGGGTGGGTTTGATTGTCTCTTCTATCTGTATAAATTTAATAATCCAGAAAATCATCTAAAAGGGGGAATCGGACATCCTCTCCATTCAAGATCTGATGGTTTGAATAATGCATGTTAATTGTATTTTCTGATGCTACAGCGTACCAAAGCACTACCGTCAAAGGCTATTACTGAAAATTCACTAGATATTATTTAGGTCTAAGTGTACATATAGGCTACAAAAATTTAAAAAATTTAAAAAAACTAGTTTTCAAAAGCTTTCTAAAGCTTTTGAAGTACTGATGGTAAAGTTCTTTCATTTAATTTAAACTTGCATTTCCTTCGTATAGCTTTCTTTTTGATTTTTGTATAGTGATGTTTTTCGAAGATCAGCTCTACTTGGCAGAACACAACAAATTCGAGTTAAGTTGATACATGTCAATTGTACATGTAGACATTGTGTTCTATATGCTCTTTGGATGTTTTAAATATATTTTTTGTGCAGCCATAAGATTTTTAATTTTCTCTTTCATGATTGAAAAACAAGTTATATTTCAAATAGCAGCCGGTGCATTATATTCAGTTTATAGCCGGAGCCTACATACCAACATTTCTGATAGTAACTGTAACTTAAGAAGATTGTGTTTTGTCCAAAAATCTCTTTCAAAATACACTTTATAAAAAATTATCATATCAACGAATTATTATAGATTGACACATCTTTACATACCAAAATGAACTCAAACCTATAAATGCGTGATGAAAAGAAGTATGGAAACTTGGAGTATATTGACTTGTGAATGGGTACATACTTCGGAAATTTTACTATATTTAAATTTTTAGAAGGTTCTACATCTGGCATCATTTTAAGAAATCCCTTACTTGTTCCATGCACAAGGATTTTTCTGAGACTTAATCGATTTGGAGTCACTTTCTGACAATTTTACCTCTTGTTACAAGTTCCTCCAACATATTTATTTCAGCTAGCAGCCGTAAAATTTACGAATAGAAACAATAAACGCTTTTTTGTTCTAATAGCAACCGTTTAGGTACTACACCATGAATATGTCAGGTAGTACTGCAAAATGGATAAGATTATGGAGATTTACAAACAAAAGGAGTATGCTGTCTGGAATTTTTTCATTTATTGGGAATTTAATAGCAAAGAATGAGTGAAAATACCATTAGTGCCTTTCATGTATCACATTGGTAGTTTCACTTTTACTACCCCAAGGGGCTATCTCCATGCAGAAAACTACTAGCACCCAAAAAAATGGTAGCCCTTGGTGTCGAGCGATGCTAATTGCACACCCCTGGAGACATCGTAATAGATCAGAGTACATTTAATTAGAATAATTTTACTCTGTCTCAAAATAACAATCAGTCACGCGGACCGGTAGTATAGCAAATTACATTGAACATTTCGATTTTCTATCGGTTTTGCCGGTAGGACCGATGGTTTTCGGAAACTCTGGAAATTTATTTTGTGTTTATTCTTACCTCTATTCCTATTCATGCTTTAAGGAATAATCAACAAGTTTTCATTGTCAAGGTACGTGTTATTAATGTCCCTTGTTTTCACATTGTCATGCTATCAAGTTGTTGAAAATGCAAGACACTAGCATGATTACTCACTACGCTGCCGACAACATGCATCCCGCCATATTACCACTGATTTCTACTTCCCAAGAGGAAGGAAAACACTTGTACAACATTTTATAAGAAAAGAGATACAATGTCATTATAATCTGTTT